TCAAAGAGCTGGTACATGGCTATACATTTCCTCTCTAGAGTCATCCAAATCTGTTTTCACTTATAATATGCTAGTGTAGCCAAGGTCCATAGCCTCCCACTATGAATTGTCCATTCTGGTTTTCATTCAGTAGGCAGTTTGTTACACATTTGATGCAGTAAGAGTAGCTGCATCTACTTTTCAACCCCTTGAGGCATTGTCTAAATGCCAGCACTATTTCCTGGCATTTAGACAATGTACTGACGTTTGCTTTTGACTGTTTTGAGCTATGTCACTTAAATGGACCTCAACCAACACCTCTGGCCAATTTATGTAAACAGTTAAAGCAATAAGTAATGGAACTGGTGTAATTTCAGCTAGAATGTGGGGTGGGAGGAAAGAGAAAGAATGAGTCCCTAATGATTCTCTGTAAACAAGAATGTGATAGCTGCTGCAAAAACCTGGGAACTACAAGCTGGAAAATCTTGCCAGGCCCATGTATCAGGATGCCAAGTGCAGGTGTGGTCCGGAAGACTGGGCTGACCTCTCTAAGCTGTACCAGCACTATTAGATACTGAGATCAACTAGTAAGGAAGGGTGATAAACATTGATAGATAGTGTTCTCTCTAGCAGGCCTCCGGTGTTGTAGAATAGTTTTGTTTCTTTTGTGAAGGACAGGTAGTCACCGTGGTTTAGAAGACGTGGGAGAGGCCAGTGGCTTGGGAGCAAGTGAAGTGGAAACATAGAAGGAGACACAGCGTGGCTATAGCCAGATCTCAGTGTCTGGCAAAGAGCTTTCACTTGGATATGTCCTGGCAGCATCTGTGCTAAGCGCTTTGTTCTTGGAAGTTGGCCCGATCCGTCTGGAACAAGTGCTGTGTGAAATGAGGCATCATCTGAGGAGAGAAAGGATGAATGTAAAATGCCGTTGCTTTGAAAATAATGCAGCCCTCTGTATTAGCAAATAGCTTCCAACCCAGTGACTAACTTTGTGCCCAAATAAATATGAAATAGATGCCAAAAGTCAAGTGCTATGCCTTGTTTGGGTTTGTGCCAAACTGCTATTCCAAAGAAGGTAGAAATGTTATAAAATATTGATGACCACCAATATTCTTAAGACCACCAAGCAATTAGGAAAAAATAACCTTGGAACTACTGTTGCTGTAGTTGTGACCTCTCATACAAAAACAAAAAACTCCAGTAAGGATTGTCTGCATGTAAAATCAATTTGTTTTTGTTGACTTACAGAGTTACCAAAGTATTTTTGGAAGGTGTTGCATGCCTTTTGTGCACCTGAAAGACGCACAAATATATTCTGCACAAGCTTTTGTGGACTACAACCCACTTCATGAGACACAGAGATTAATGTGGTGTGTTTCATGTTACAGTAAATACAGTGCTGGTGAGGAAAGAACTGTGAACAGGAAAACTTTTCAGAAACCCAGCTCTCTGGAGGCACAAGGGGAAAAATAGCAACTTACAAAGGAGTGAACAAAAAGTTAACTGCTTCCTGGAGTTGAGCCTGTTGGTCAGTGGCAGCTATGCTTCAAACTTTCTTAAGTAGTAAGCCAAGTTTGGAATTAATGATGATCATGTCAGCAGTTCTGTGAAATGCTGGGACTATGATCAAACTATATCAATGTCAGACAAAACTGAAGAACATTTTTATTTTTAAATTTTATTTTGATTTTTGAATACTGCTTCTTTCCCATAAGCTCTGGATGATTTATAAGGGATTTTCAAAATTACCCAGTGAAAAAGAGAACACAGACCTGTTCACGCTTTCCCACTGGTGTACTCTACCAGTGAATGGATCTTCTGGATCTTATTTTGCAAGATTGGATTCTCCAATTGCAATTAATATCTTGGAATTCAAAGCACCAGCTTATTTCTAAGGATTGAGCTACTCCGATAGTTTTAACAGTTCAGTATAATATTGATCTGGCAGTTTGCTTTGTAATGTTGAAACTCTCTTGCCTTTAATTTTTTTTTCTTCAGGATTTTCTCAAATCCTGATTATTTCTTGGAGGGTCATAACCTCTGAGAGCTTCTAATATACCCCAATGTACAAATATGGAATCATGTGGGCAAAGCTCAGGTGGTGTCAAATGCAGTGCAAAACCTGGGGCATGATGTTCAGATACATGATTCCCTTGTCATGCTGGCATTCAGCAGTACAATTTCCAGAAAGATAATAGACATGGTAAAAATCTGCCTTGTTCTTCCTTGGGGCAAAAACAAAGCAGAAGCGTTAGGGAAATTGAAGGACAACTATTTCTTACTTTCTTATCACAGCTAGACTGATTATAAGATGTATTGCTTAATAAATAAATCAGTATTGAAATTGCATTATTTGTTATAAAAATTGAAAAGACATTGCAGTCCAGTGCCTGTTTACTCAAAAGCGGTTGAGTGAAGCTTGCTCCCAGGTAAGTACACACAGGATCGTAGCCTCAAAAGTATGAACACAATTTTGTGTGCATGAAATTAACACAAATACACTGGAGATAGAGGGGAAGAACTGTTAAGGAAGACAAGTCAAAGCAGTAAGACCTGTATCCTTCTCACCAGATGTCAACAGTTTCTAGGTGCAAAAATGGATCATGGATTTGTGTCTATGAAGCTCAGGAATTTTCATTCTATGATGTAGATATGCCCTGCATTAAAAAAAATCAGATGCATTTTGAGTGAGTAAAACCTTTCACTCAAAAGTATTTCACTCATTCCATATCAAAAGAGGTTTTTTTCTGTGCTTTCCAAACCCTCCAGATAGTGATGGTAAAACAACTTGGGGGGGGGGGCAGGGTAGTTTCTGGAATTTTCCTGTTTTTTCCCCTCGAGGCTTTCAGATATCTCGTGCCTAGATAGGAGCTCACTTGGAACGCTGTGTACACTGCCTTGAGTTCGGTGATGGAAGTAAGCCAGGGTATAGAATATACTAATCCAATTTCTAGAAAATTGCATTTCTTTTCCTTTTATCAGACAATTTTGCCATATAGCAGACTTGTTCAGTTCTCTCTGCTACAGATTTTAATATCTGGATACTTAGACGCCAAAATAGCTGTTTTTCCTTGTTTCATCTCCATTTTCTGCCATCCATTTTTCTGCTCTTTGCATTTGTCTTTTATTAATACAAGGATGTGAAACATGTGGGGCCCTGAATGCTGCTGTTCTGCTTCTTGAGCCCTCATTGTAAGCTGACCTACACCAGCAGGTTCACATGCTCCTCACCTGTGTATTCACCAATTAGCAATATTCTTCTACCACCCTCACCTTTACAATACAACTCCATGAAGCAAGCCAAGAGTCAGAGGGCATAAATTACAGGTTCTCATTACTTGTGATTTTAAAAACAGGCATTGTGAGAATGCCTGCATCAGTGTTCAGGGGGGTGGGGTGGTTACACAAAGGTGTTCTGGTCACATTGCTGTTTGTTTGGTGTCAAATTTGCCTTGAGACGATTATCTCCTTAAAGTATACAAATATTCATTATTTATTTACAATTTTATGTACCATCAAAACATTATAAAAACTCAAGAGGATTTACACAAAAAATATAAAAACAATTATTACAATAGTAAACCAGCAAGTGCCAGTACTTGATGCAATTAATTAAAATACTGTTGTCAATTTAAAAACTGGGGAAATAAGAAGGTTTTAGCCTGGTGCTTCAGCAGATGAAGTGCCAGGCACGTCTCTGAGCAACAGGTTCCATAATCAGGGCACTACCACAGAAAAGGCCTTCCTCATACTAGCCCTCCTCACCTCTTTGAAGGAGGGCTCTTGAAGGAGAATATCTGCCAATGATCTTAGGGGCTAGGCAGCCTTGTATAGAAGGAGACATTCCCTTAGATAACCAGGCCCTAAGCCATTTAAATATAGTGGAATGATGATAACTTTTAAGTGTATCTTATTACTTGTGAAGCATGCATGGTTTTGAAATGTATTTGGCTACATATGTCTGGCTGGGGAATGCTGGGCATAAGATCACACCCCAGATAGCCTGTGTACAGCATGATGGGTGAAGGGTAGTTAGGATCTTTGGGTTTTGTTTCCCTTCTTCTGTTCCTTGTATTTAAAAGGTGTAAAAAATTTCAGCCACCAACCCTGTATCACCACCCTTTCTGCATAACTGTGTTTGCATTGTTTTTACCCGAAGAGTTAACTAGACCGAAAAGCTTCCCATTAAGCCCACATTTTATATAGTTGCCTTTTGGAATAATGCAATAATGGATTGTTAATGCAATCAGTTTCTGTGAGCAGGTGAGACTTCAGCTTCCCTGCTGAAAAGATCCTGATCTTCCAGTATTGATAGGCTGCTACTCCTGACTTGCACTTTAGCAGGTGTGGGCAGCTCATGACCCTCTGGGTGTTTTGGTGTAGGCTTTCCATCAGCCCAGCTAGCTGATCAGGGTTCAGGTTGGTGGTGAGAGGGGACAAGTTGTAAGCAAAAAGTCCAGAGTACCACAAGTTGTGCAGTCAAGAGGGCAAGAAGTATGGAGAGTGGAGACGTATTAATGGAAAACCCATGTGCTACAGTAGATGGACTCAAGCTAGGAAATGTGCATTCATAATCTCTCTCAGCTCCCTGGGTGACCTTGGGGCAGTCACTAGCTTTTGTCTTCCCCTACCTTCTAGTTTTGTGGCTAAAAGGAAGCACAAGGGAGAGACTCTTCTATTGCCGGGCTCTTTGAAAGAAGGCTGAAATACATTAAATATTGAAATGCTGGAAAATGTTCCAAATCTTGAAAACAAATACCCATAAGGTTAGAAGGTCATTTTATGCTCACACCTCCAATGATAAAGCCTGTCAGAAGAAATCTAGTGATAGATCAACTGGCTGTGTGTGACATGTTCGTTCTGTCTCTGCCTCTGCCTCTGTGTGTGTGTGTGATGCAAAAGAGACAAAAGCAAGGATTTTTCTACTTCATTTTTATATACCTCAGGAAACAAATTGAAGGGAGATAAAGGGGGAAAATCTGCATTGATTCTCTCCCTCACTCCTCCCGATCTGTAAAATTCTACTGGGTTTGTAAAGGGTATGCCACGCATAATCACTAATAAGAATGGTCACACGCACCCATTCTAAGTGTGGGATGGGGGGAGGTTCCCTTCTCTTCTGTTAATCATTCCCTACTGATAACCTGTGGCATTGGTGACAGGTTCCTGTTTGCCTTGGAAGTGATGGTGCTGAGACACAAGGTTGCTAAGAGTTGTCAGATGACACTTGCTCACATGAGACCATTAAGAGGGTGTTGCAGCCAGTTTTAAAACAAGTTTGCATCTTAGGAGTCAATGAGAAAGCAGTAACCTCCCTATCCAAGGCCATCTGCTTAGGTCTTGTGATCAAATAATTGCTAGCTACAGATGCATACCAGGAAGCAAGATAGTCACAGCTCTTACTAGCTGCCGCTTCTGCCAAAGAGAGGGCTGAATTACTGAAACAAGCAGGTTTATGCTATTTTTCCATTTAAAGTATAAGGTAGATTGCTAGGCTGTGTAATAAATATTATAGCTTTTCTTCAGCCAGAAAAGCTTCACAGTCATGGCAGAAAAGGCAGCTACTTCATAAAAAGAAAACCAGCTGGATGCTGTCCAGTTTCTGGCTGCTGTCCTTATGGCTAATAGATCCCTTCAGCAGAGCTCAGAATTTATGTGGCTGTTTCTTTAAATGCACACATTTATTTCAAAAAGCTGTGAGTGAGAGAACACCTGTGAACTCAAAATGTGTGGAGGCACACCGAAGACTTCAAGCAGCACAGGGAACCAGACCAAGAAAGCGAGGAAAATCCATGATTCATCTATGGCACTGGTGAATAGCTTTTCAAAGCCAAGGTTAGATAAGGCTAAGAAGCCATTCATGGCAGAAAAAAGCTCTAAACTCGCAGAGAGAGTTGCTGAAGACCTATCAATCAGGTATGAATGCTTAGTTCAAAATAGGCTTTGTGGTGTGTGGGTGTGTGTGAGGGGGGTATGTTCTAACAATTGTTACATAATAAAAATGGGAAAAAAATCCTAAAATGAGTGGGAACTGTATTGGCACTGAATCCCCTTCCCCATTTTTTCACTTGCTCTTGACATCTAAATATATTGCTTGTTGATAAATTATTGACTTGGTTCAAGTTAACTGGAATCTAAAATTCATGTCATTGGAATAGGGGGGTAGTTTTGTTTTGCATCTGAAACCATGCTTCAGTGCTTGCTCTGCTGTCAGCTCAGTGCTAATGTAAGAAGGTTGGTATGGTAAAGGATGGAAAAAGTATGAAATAGGTATATTATTTATGGGTTGCATCTAGTGTTAGTGTAACTAAACTTCCACTGATTTCAGTAGGTCTACTTTTACTAAGATTAGATGCAAGCTGCTGCTATTTTTTAAAATCCTTCATACTTTCTGAATATAATTTGAATCCTGCAACTCTTGAGTAGAGGACAGATTGGCCTTTATCAAACCAGCTAATCTATCAGTCAGCTGAGAGCAGTGTATTTGTACAGTGTCCTACAGGGCTGTGGAAAAAAGTTGCTGGTTAAACTAAAAATAAATCTGAAGTAATTTGTAAGAACATAATTTTTATTTTCAGAATATCTTGTGTTTGATGGTTAACCCAGAATGCTATGCTATGAAAGAAAGTTAAACTAAGTAGTATGCTAAAGCAAATGCTATTTTTCCTCCAGAGGCATTTAACAAATAGTTCAGTGTATCAAACCTTGCTAGAAAGTTTGGCTATAATATTAGAGAATTTATTAACAGGGTCTATCAGTCAAGCATTAATTCTTACAGGTTTTTTATGAAGGTTATCATTGTTTGGGAGAGAATGAAACTAAGGTAGCCTTTTAAAAATCAAGCTTGAACATAAATCTGCTTGAACCAAAGGAGAAGAGGTGCTGAACTGTAGAGTGAGCTATGGTCCTCCTGCGACAATCTCTCAATATTATGTTTTATTTGGGAAATAAAAACAGGGCACTGTTGCTAAGAGAGGCTTCTTCAACATTGTGACCAGCTTTTGTTAGGGCAGGTTTTTTTGGAAGGGGGAATCCACCCTGCCTCTATTGATGCCCTGTTATCCAAGTGTCATTTCTGGCTGATAGTCACATGTAGAGATGGAGCTTGCAGGGGAGCAGTTTGAACTGTACTAAGACAGTGGTGCTTCCAAATGAAATAAAGGACAAGCTGTTTCTGCAGGGCCAGCGTGCAGGGCATGGAGGGGAGGCATTATTGTGCTCCTTCTAAGGATCACAGCCCAGCGGTGGGACTGCCAGCTCCTGGAGTGTCTTGATCCTGGTTTGTTTTGGTTTTGCCCAAAGAGGCCAAGCAAATAGACTGACAACAGCAAGGAAGCCCACTCAACACATCTTGCTCAGTGGCTGTCCAAAATCTTGCACTCCAGGGCATAAAATTTGTACCAACTCTCCATGCAACTCTTTCTTTCCCTGCATCATATCAGCCCTGAAAAGCATTGTACTTACCTTGTTAGTTTTGAGGAAAGGTGAAATCAAAGTTCATGCAGGTAGCTACCTTTCTAGAACAAACATGTATTTTTTCTGAGAATAGATGGGCAGTTTTTGTTGAACTGCTGGAACTCCTGTGCAAGCAAGACAGACTAGGATTTTCACACTGACACAATATAAAAATGCTTTGAAAGCAGAAGTATTACAAATAAGAGCCCATGGCCAGGTGTTGAATTTGGATATAGGAAATCCAGATTCAAATCCTGATGAGACATGAGTTATCTCATTGACTGGGAGAAGGAAATGTGGAAAACCATTTTAATTTTACCCCAAGTGCTAAGCTACAAATGAAGGGCTAGCCAGGGTGATTTTAGAGTTTTGCAAATGCACATTTCATCCTTAGTTCTGCCAGACAGTCACGCAACTTTGAAGGGAAGGGAGAGATTTCTGCTTTCCTATCATAAAGCATTTTGCATTACACTCCTGGAGTATTGTGTCGAAAGGTTTTGCATCAAAAATGTGTTCTGTAATTGTGTATAGAAAATACTAAACCCCATTCTAACACATGTATGGTCAATTGATGGACAGTGTTAAGTGTACATTTAGGTAGAACCAGTGCATTATGGATATTGAGCCATTTATTGACCCATATTGAAAGGGACAAGCTTTAATTTTTCTTGCCTCTTGTAACCTGTTGGCTAAATCAAAGAACTGAGCCATCAGAGAGATTTCCCAATCATTCACATGGGCAAGTGAAAGCTGCAGTACCAGCTGCCCACCTCAATATCAACAAGCCTATAAGCATGGCTTTTCCCTCCAGTGAAGGAAATGCTCCTGTTTCTCCTTATCAGAAATAAAAGCCCATTTTGGTAGAGAACCTGTGTGGTCTTGGCCAAAGCCAATAGTACAACAGGATCAGCTACAACTGGTGGTATGAAAATGCTCTGTTCAGTTGAGCTAGGGTTGAAGTGCACTGAAACTATGATGCTCAGAGGAGGTGTGTATTCACCTGAAAAAGAGAGATTGCTGTAGCTTAGAAGACCTCTCTTGAGCAGCCATTTCAAGTGCTTCTATGTACTTTAAAGTTAAATTTCTGGTAGGACAGTATTATTTCATAAACATGCTCTCAATGGTGTGATGGCCTGGTGACTTGGGAAAGAATTGCTTTCTTTTTGAAATGAACTGCAACCTGGGTATCTAGGCATCCTAATTATGGAGAATAGTCCTCCATTTGGAGAGATAAAAGGGATATCTGGTGTAAAGAAAAGAATTATAAGGGAGAACCTGCCTTTTTAAGTTGCCCAGTATTAGTACCTGGACAACAGCCTGAGAAAGAACACAAGTCACTAGACCACAGCCTTCTCTGCTATGGTAGGATTTTGTGCATTTGTGTTTAAATTATAGCAATGATTTCTAAATGTGTGTCTCTTGCACATTGGAACATGCAATTTCTGTGCACATGGGGAGCATCCCTTGTCATCCTCTTGGGCATTGTGTAAAGTGGCCATGTTAAAAGCAACAACTGGCCATTTTGTAAACAGGGAAGAATACTCATTTCACTGGCAGCATCTGAACCCAAAATGAAGACCGGAGTTCTGCAGGAAAATGTATGACAATGAATCCACTGCCTGGTCTCAGCTCTCAAGAAACTAAACCTTTAAGTTGCTTTTAGTAGATGTGCCTTTTAGAGCACTGCATCAGTTTAATACACTTACCAGCCACCACAATTGGGAGTGATGCTTTAATCGGGTTTGCTATCATGAAAGCTCTCTGTATTCAGCCAAACACATTCAGAAGCACTGATGCAGGCCTTCATGTTCAGCATCCCCACTATGCTTATGCATGATGTGGGCTCATATCTGCAAGGACTATGAAGTGGCCTGGAAATGTGTGTACTTATAGCATGGGTCCCCAACTTTTGGGGCCTGGGAGTACACGTCAAATGTTGGGAGTTCTCTGTGTGCCAACACAAACAAAACCGCTGCTCTAGGGACATGGTCAGTCACAATTTGTCCATTCCCAATATGCTTCAACAAAACATACAATTCAGAGAAGGTGAGTTGAAGAGGTTAGAAGACAAGTTGCTCACCCAAGAAATGTGCAAGGAGAGGTGGTTGGTGAGCAACAAAGCACTCCTTGTACCCACTTTTATCTCTTGCAATAGCAGAATGCTCATTTCACAGAAAGCAAGACATTTTAATCCCTATCAGCTCCCCTTTACTCACCATTAATTACACACCCAATTCATCCCAAACATGTTCAGTCCGCATTGCAATGCAAATACAAATGTATATAGATGTGTGTATTTCTCCTGCAGAAGGAAGTGGCTATTTAGAAATTTGTTTAATTCCACACATACACACGAGTCTTCATGGGGTGCCAGAAGCATTAACATGTGAAAAGAAGCATCCTTGCACCAGACCAAAGGCCTCTCTGGCCCCCCATCTCAAAGCCTACTACAGTTGCCCTCTTTCACCTGGACTCTGCCTTCTCCCCCAGGGCTGCGTCCACTAGCTGTCCTCTGGAAAGGGTCCTGATCATTGTTCTTTGCCTGGGAATGTGGAAAATGCAGCCCAAGGTCTCTGGAAGGCAACAACATGGCAGAATGCCAAATTGTGCCATTCTGATAAAAGCTGAATGAGCAAGGGCTGCCGTCCTTGCAGAATCACCTTGACATCCCACTTGTGTTTGCAATTCACAGCTGGTCCTGTGCAGGGTTTGACCTGCAAGAAATTCGCCTAATAGTGTACCAGGATTGTGAGAGGCGAGGCAGACAGGTCTTGTTTGACTCTACAGCAATCCGCAAGACTGAGGAGACAAGGGTTCAGGTATGACTTCTCTTTGTTTGTCTTTATCCAGGCTATAGAAACTATTTTTCAGTGGCACCACTGCCACTTTTTGAAATCACTTTTGGTTTAAAATGGTTTGCTGTCATGTTTAACACAGTACAGTTGCCACCTTTAAAAAAGGGAGAAGAAACATTGGTGTGTAAGGACACAACCCCTTGCATGTCTAGACATAAAAAGGCACATCACATCTGTCCTACCATGGCTGGCTGAGACATGCTGGGAGTGGGGGGCCATTTTGGGGGGGCAGGGGTAAACTTCTATAGGATTACACCAGAAGTGACTAACCCTTTATCTATTTGAGCTCCTTTTATTGGGTCTCTTCCTCCAGATATAAAGTAAGTTGTCTTTGACAGCCAAATGGCATGATACCCTTTTTACTCTTGTGTAAATGTGTGTGCACCCAATTCATAATATAATCACAGTGCTCCAGGAAGGGAGGATTAAACCTTCCCACATATTTTCCCCCTAAAACCCACCCCCAACTTGGTGGGTTTATTTTTTAAAGGAATATCTCATTTGACTCCAGTGGATATTTCTTTTTAAAGCTCTGGTGGGAGGAGGAAATTTCATTAAAAATAGGGGTGGTGATGAAGAGGTCTAACACTCTCTTGTCAGAATGCTGATACAAGAATAAGAAGAAAGAAAAACCTCAGCTGTATTACTGGTGTAATATGTGGTTTGGCCCTAAAAGATAAGGCAAGGTCATAATGCAAGTTTAGAAAAACAATTTAAAAAATAGTTTGTGACCCAGCACTGCAGCACAACTCTATTTTGACTGCCCTGTACATACAAGGCTCAACTTTGGTGGCTGAATTATTCTTGAGGACTTGGCTCCATTTCTATTATACTATTCAGTTTGCTAGACTTCTGCACTCATGCTTTTTAAACAGAGTCTTTGGGGCAATATAAGTTCAGGGCATCTCTCAACAGATTTGTTTGTTCGAAAGCCTTGGTTAACTGCTTGCATGTAAAACCAAGATACAGCTAACCAGTTTTGCTCTGCACTTGCACGGTGGGTGGCCCTGAGACAAGTACATGTTTGCTTTCCCCCTTTCCCTCTCTCTCGCACACACACATTTGTGTGTGCTCGTGCACACCCCCCCCCCATTTGCTCCAGCTCCTTGTCAGTAGCTTGCATCGAGCACATGACAACATTGCTGCACTCTCCTAATGACAGACATGTTGGGGATTGGAGAAGCATTCTTACATAAAAGTAATATTAAGCAATATCTTCTGAAAAGGAATGTAAATAGATAGTAAAATGTGAAAGGGCCCTTGTGCAGATAAGGAGTGGTGTAAGGAAGGGAGAAGAGAGAGTCCTTTTATATTCGTGCCCGATCTTTGGTTTTTGCCACCAAAACCCATTTATGGAGTTTGGCTGTCCAAAGAGGAAACCTTTCTTCCATATGAGCCAGTATGCTGCTTCCTCTTGCTCTCTGGTCTTATTCTGGAAAAGAATGCCTGAATAGGGCTGTAGTAATTCTAGAAGAAGAAATGGTCAAATTACTGGCTTTCTAGTGCTTCATCTTTCCTTTATTACATCCAAAAACTTTCTCTTGGCTCCCAGTATCTAGTTAGACTGTCTTTGTTCATCAAGGTGTGTGTATGTGATAGTGATGTCGCCTTAATGAAACAGATTTATGGAGTTTTTAGAATGTTCATTCTGCTTTCCAGGCTTTGAAACCCTGGATAATGAGTGTTTGAGGTCTAGTTGAGGTTTTCAATAAACAGTGTTTCTCATATTGGATTGATTTTCAGCACTGAGTTATGTTTAATCATTGTCATGCTGCATGTGCTCTGCAGCAGCAGACGTGCTTCAAGATGCATGTTGGGTCTTAATGCTGAGGAAGAGGAAGCTTTCAACCTTGCAGGTCCCAGAGGTTAGAGGAAAGCTAAAATCTCTTTTGCACACTGGAAGGAATAATGGTCTGTGCAGTTCCGAACAGGACCAGTTTCTCTCTTAATTTTATGTTGCTATAAACTTCATGTGTTGTCTGACCCACAGGAGGAGTTTCAGGTGAGGGCAATCTGACCCACTCATAAAAAAAAAATCCTTGCATGCGCCCCCTTTCCTGACATTGCATTACCAGGTGCAGGGGAATAAAACTGGGCACATGAGTTGAACAGCTAGGCAAACATGAGAGAGAGAGAGGAATTTGTAAACAATCCAAAGGTCCAAGATCTTGTTTGAAGAAACCATTTTCAACCATGCCCAGTGCTTGTCCTGAGAACTTGGGATTAGTTAGCAAATAGAAAATACAAAAGGGTTAATATTTGTTTGCAACGAAAGTGCTTAGTTGCTTTGGGGAGGCTGAAACCTGTAAGGGCCAATCTGTATGCCATTTGCCTGAATCTTTCTTGACAACGGCAAAATGTGCAAGCCATTTTAACATGAACCCAATGCTCTATGTTTGCATGCTGCTTTTTGGCTTGTTTGCATTTGGCACTTTTCCATTTTTGAGAAGGGCTACATGCTGACCTAGAAATTATGGGGTTTCTGCATTGCCATTAACTGATTTCATCCTACAGGATGCTGCTGGAAAGACATGTGGCAAGTTCTGTCAGGCAAGCGGTGGTTCCAGTGCAACATCTTCCCATAGTCCTTCAGTGGATGGCAAACCAAATACCAGTGAAGACATCCCAAAGTATCAGGTAATGAGTCCCTACCACATGGAATCTGTCTCTGTATGTACACCCAGTCGACATGAACTGAAAGCCAGGTTTTATATTGAATTCTTGTGGCTTCATACCCTGGTAGAAATAATGTTACAGGTTGCGCTGCATGGAGAAGTAAATTGCTAAGTTCTCTCTCGAGCTGCTTTCTGAGGTATGTGGGCAACTTTGCAAGGTTTGAAAAGCACACTGGCCTACCCCAGAGTCTTCAGTCTCCATGCATCTCCACACTTTCTCTAGAAGTGCTCACACCACTGAAGTTCCAACAGTTCTACTGGGAATCACACTCCCCCCAAAGAACTGTTAGGCTGTCAGGAGACCCTTTCTGGGTGATGGTGGGGCCAGGAAGCAGGTGAAGACTCCAGAAATGGCCATGGTGAGCCTTGTGTTGCCCACTGGCATAAGACATGCTGATGTTGTTTTCCTGTATTCTGCAATGCTGTCTACTGCAGCTTCTTCAAACTACAATTGGAATGGATTTGCTTTCTTTCCCATGTTCTCTTTAAGCTGCCACACCCAAGTTGTGTTGACTAACTCTTGCTCTGTCCCTTGGTGTACTTGAAGTCAGGGCCATTCCCATTGCTGCAGGGTTGATTTGATTTAAATCCAATAGATTTCAATCAAATTGATTTAAATCACTTGCCAGTAACACTGGGTTTAAATCACAGTTTTCTGCATAATTTGCACACCTGCCTGCCTTATTGTAGGGAGAGGAACTTCATTAAAATATTCCCAAACTGGGTCGCTTTTACAGCCTGCTTCCATGATAGGTTTTCTTCTCCAGGGAAAGAATAATACAGTAAACCTCAGGCTATACACAAAAATATCCAAAGGCTTGTGAAGTATTTGGCTTAAAATGTTTCTCTGTCACTTAAACTGCTTGTCCCTCCCTCCTCACACTTGGCTTCTTGTGCAGTTCTATTCCATTCCCAACAATCATTTTCTATTGAATTTTTTGAAACTTAGCACTTAAGAGGGTAAGGGGTTGATTCTGTATGCATAGATTTGCAAAGGAATGAGGTCTTTTTCTCAACTCTGTATGTTTATTTTATAATATTTTTGCTGTGAAGAAGAGGCACGTGATCTTTTCAGGCAGAAATTCACAGTTTTGAGAACTGTAAAATGAAGTAGTTATGATATCTTCTAGACTGAAAAATTGCCCAATAATCTTACAGAAATCTCTGGAAGAGCATGACATTATGAATGGATTAATATAATTCATTTACCAGAAAATTTAAACATTACATGCACATACCTTATGCTGCATAATCAAAAACCAATGCTTATTTCCTGGTGATAACCCTTGACCTATAATGTATCTTATAACTACAGGAAATTATCCTTAGATAGATTTTTCCTCAAAAATCAAGTTAATTAAAATAAATAAATCTGATTTAATTAAATCTTTTTTTTAATCATTGTTTTGTATCCAGCCTGCATTGCTTTCTCTTTGAACTTGAGGACCATGTTCAGTGCTGCCCACCATGCATTGCAAAATGATATGTCAATGTGGTGGGAATAGAGTTTGCTGACAGCAGACAAAATCCTGTCCTCTTTTCAGGCTCTTATTCAAAGACTGATATGAGAATCCCTTTTTTCTTTCCCTTTAACCAGTGATGACGATGATCATGATGATGATACTGCTAGTATCTAAACCCAATGGTTCCTCTGTGTGGCCTGAATTGCTTACCCAGCAAGCCAGTTCTTCAGCTGCAGTTTTGGGTGGCTATTATTACCAAGATAGTTGAAGGAATAACATAGCCAAAGCATTTTCCTTTCAAGTATCTTGGTAATAATAGTCCCCAAACTGCAGCTGAAGGAGAGTTGGCTTGCCAAGTAAGGAATTCATGTCAAGAGGTGAAGCTTCAGTGCTTTAGCAAAATTAGGGCATTGTTAGTGAAAGTAACTCAGTCCACTGGTGTTCTTCCTTTCTCACTTGCAGTATACTAGGCCAGCTTCTGATGTTAATATGTTGGGAGAGATGATGTTTGGGTCAGTCACGATGAGATACAAAGGTTCTACACTGAAAATCCACTATATTCGGTGAGTCACTGTCTCCAGCTCCTTGTTGTTCTGTGAAAAGTATAAGCTGTGCTGAATCACCAGTATTACTCCTTATCCTTCCAGCTCTCCTCCACAGCTTATGATGAGCAAAGTATTCTCTGCCAGAGTGGGTAGCTTCTGTGGAAGTACGAGTAGGTAAGATCATTTCCCTTTTCTGCTTCACTTCACCAGCATCTTTCTGGTTTCCCCCCATCTTAAGTTCAGTTGTCCATTTTTGGAAAAAAATCTGCCTCAGGGAGAGTACCCCAGATGGAACCGCTCAATGGAATGCCAAACGAACCACTCAACTCAGTGATTTGGTCTGGTTAGGGCATCGGCATTCAACCCTGGTCTTTTAGGAAGAGGCAACAGCTGGACAATAGCCACAGGACTCTCAATGTCAAAGCCTTTATGTGGTTAGAACTGTGTGAGGGGAGGTCAAAGACATGCTGTTAGTCCCCTCTGCCTCTTCCATGGTCAGGGGCATGAAAATGTGAGATTCAGGATTCTGGATTACAAGGAGAGTCTGCACAAGTTTCATGGGTTCTCCTCTGCAAACCTTTGCTGTGGACCACGTGGGACACAACGGGTGATGAGACTAACAAGCATGTCTTTGCCCTTCCTTCATTGTGTGAGGTCTTTGGCATCAATGTAAGGTTTGTATGATGTGCCTAGGAGTGCACAAGGGTCATGACTACAGCTCAGAGCAGCAGATACTATGTAGGGAAGAGAGGTGGGGGACAATTTGCTTCACCTTTTTCTCTTCTGCTCCTGCCATCCTTTAAAGGATCCAGTGCAATCTTGTTTGCAAGGGCAAGATTCTGGAGGGCAGTCTGCTGAATGTTGCCATTGATAACTGGAGTGTGCAGTAATAGAAATGCGTGCAGTAATAGAAATGCAGAAATAATGGGGAAGAGCTTTGTGACTTATTGCCTGAGGAAAGCTAAATTTGTGGATTGGGCTGTGTGAGCAATAAAACTATTTGCCATCTTTCTTTCAAGAACACTTGTGCTTCCCTGTCTCATTTAGTTTTGTATGGGTGAGTTCAGATCTTCAGTTATCATGACAACACATGGTTAACCGACTGCTGAGGTGATGAGAAGGAATGAAGGTGTGGGCTAGTTCTTTACACTTGCCCATTCCATGGGTTCAGACTCAGGGTTGTTTGTGCCTCCCAAACTAGGATCTGGGTTTGGACATCACACTGTGCAACTCAGAGGCAGGATGCACCTAGGTTATTATCTCAGTGGTATTAGGCCTGCATACAAGGACCAGTGTGTTCCCTCACCCCATTTGTCTTTTCAATAAGTCATGGTTTGTTCAGTCTTACAACTTCCAGCATGACTGGCTGGTGAAAGGGACTGAATGCATAATCTCAAACTATGAAACTCATTGAGTTTGGACAGGAAACCTCTGCATGCAGAAGTCTTGAATATGCTTAGAAAGTTAGAGTTGTTACTTAGGTATTTACTTTTAAAAAAAATTAGCCCTGTGCAGTTCTGTCTTCTTGGGGCAAAATTGATGATGTCTTCTAAAAATCAAAAATAGTTATTGCATATTTGGAGATGTGCATGCTTGCTTTCAGTATGAATGTTGGTATTGTATTTTCTTACAGAAAAATGGTTTCCTAATCTTGAATAGCCAGTTAGGATGCAGGGGGAGTACTCAGCGACAGTGTAATTGTCAACTGTCTCCTGACAACTTTCGTGAATGTATCTTTCTTTTCAAGCTTGCAAGGTAGTTTTGAATATATCAATCAAGATCCCAGTTTAGCAAGGCTGAACCCCAACCCAAACAGTTTGGGCCCCTGTCACAATGGAAGCAGCCTAGGTAAGTACATTCAACTCTCTCAGCTTGGATGTTTGTGCTGACCACATATTTTAATTTGTGTTTATCTTGCTATTAAATCTGATTTTTGTTTTGAATATTTCCCATGTTGGTCTCTTTAGGTGTATTACAGCTGTGCAGCAACAAGGTGCTGCACGGTTTGCCTGAAGAGAACCCGCTCCGGCTAATCCGGAGTGCTTCTTTCTTTGCAGGTTTGTGTGGAATGTTGAGCAGTGTGACGCACCTAGATGCACATGTTTAGCTTCCCATGAAATCTCTTGGCACGGGTTCAATAACTGCTCTCTATAAATGGAAGGAGCTAAAGAGGACATTGATTCTCATTCTACTATCTTTGGAAAACCTATGAGAGACCTCCTAAAATATTGGGCTGCATTAACTGCATCCTCTGTTCCTTGTAGGAAATTCGGTCAAGTATTCCTACTAGTAGCACTTAGTGCAATATTTGCTCACAGATAAGGGTGCCCTTCCAGTTTTGAGAGGAGTTGTTTTTCCAGATTAATATTTTACTGGTATTTTGGAGTGTGTGTTTTTCCTCACTCTCTGGGAAATTCTCCCCCCTGCACCCCCATAAGGCTACAATAGTGTAAATGTTTTTTGATGTGCTCATGTTAATTTTATAGTTGAAACAATCACCTTTTGGAAGTGGGCAAATGACAGTCTGATCAAGGGAATGGGAGTTAATCTTACAAGTCCTGCATGTGCTCTAATCATTTGATCTTTTTTTTGCTTAATGTTGGCTTACCCTAGTATAAATTTTACCTTTTTATATGGAGTTACAACATGCACTCAGCCTTGCACTGGTGACTAACCTGGGAGCCATACATTGTCATTTTCCAGAACGTAAAATGCTGAGTTAGAACCAAAGGTTGTGTTCATCATGCAGAAATATCGTTCACATTCAAAAAGAAAAAAAAGTGGAACCACAGCTTATGAGGCCACAATGATTGCATTAGTTTTTCAAGAAATGACTCAGTACTTTTCTAAAAAATCCAAAGATGTTCATCTGCTTGGCATCTTCTACAGAATTTTTTTAGAACACCACATCAACCATCATGCAGGAATTTACAGATCAGCACTAATGGCCGTGTTCCTCTCAGTCAGTGCCCCAGCCCGACAATGATGCCTGATCCTGCCTAATCATGGAAGCTGTGTGGGGTCAGGCCTGGTTAAAATCTGGATGGGTGACCCACCCAGAATGCTTCAGCTACGAGAAGGTATAGAAATGTAATGCAGTAGCAGCTGCAGCAGAGTATTAATAATAATTAACTAGATTTTTCCTGGGAGTTCTTAAGCAAAAGTTTTGTACTGACAAGCTTTCATGATCTAGTACATTAAGAGTGCAACCTCATGTGTGATTAAACAGAAAGAAAGCCTATGAGTCCCAGCATGAAGAATCTTTAACAGCGGAGCAGTTCTAGTGGGTGTGTTCATTCCCTGCTGGATGTGCGTATTTTTAAGAGTGGCCATATAAGAAAGGTAGCACAAGCGTGCTTCCTCTTAGCTATGGAGTCAGCATGTGGTTTCTCGCTACCAACACAAGAACTGTGCTCAGTGTTTGAGGCTCAGCTTTTTTTCAAGCGAACAGTCATATTGCATATATGACACTTAGCAAGAGGTGCATGAAAATGGCATGTGCATGTGGCAAACAGAAACTTTGAGCCCCAGGCCTCTGCTTTCTTGCTGCATATTATAACATACCAAAAGCTAAACATGTATACACAGTGAAAGCTGTTGACATTTGTTGTGGTCCCTGAAGGTGTACTACTGGAGACTAAACTAAAAATGTAGTTTTCCCACTCAGGTAATGACCATTTCATGAACATAAAATCTGATAGGCACAACCTACTCTTTTAGTCTGCAATACAATTCGTACACTTTGGAATGGGTTTTGTCCTGAACTATGTCCTCTTGCATTTGACCTTGCTCTTCTTGTCCCCAAGGCAAGGCCAAGTGCTGAACCTAACCAGATGAGCACAACTGGTGCTCTGCTGCAGGGCAGAAGAGGTCCCTGATGCAAGCAGCTTGACTTCCAGTCATTTCTAGGTGCAAGGTCTGGCTAAGGCAACCTGATGAAATACTTGAAGGCGCTGCAGTACTCTTTTGCATAAATTACTCTCCCTGCTGTTTTCTATGATGCCTTTATATTTTTTGCTATTTAAAATATATCAACTTGAGCCATTATTCTGGAGCTTTTAAAAGCTGCACTCCTGAATCCAAACTACTGGTGTGGAGCTTTTTGAAGATAGATGATAAAGAAAATGTCTCTTTTTTGTTTGCTTTATTTTGTTTTTTGCTTTTAAAATACAGCACATAGCACACCTGTTGACATGCCTAGCAGGGGACAGAATGAAGACAGAGACAGCGGCATTGCCCGGTCAGGTATCAAATGGATTTATTATTATTGTTTGCTGCACTGACAGGAGGAGGTTGAAGTTTATCTCATTAAAATGTGATCCAACACATGCAGAATTGGTTTCACTTGACACTGAATGGAAACACTGTGTCTATGAATCCTTATATTTTGTTTAAAACATTAGAATACAATGTCTTACCTCTTTACCACCATCTTCACTAATACCTGACTCACAAAACTCATAGTTTGTACTCCTTTGCCATCTGACTTTGTCATATTTAGGTACTGTAGATTTTCAGTGTGGATTAGAAATATTTTGAGCAATGCCAATGTGTTCTGGACAGTGGCACATCAAGAAGAGACTCTGACAGGTCTGGATGTTAGAGTTATGTATGCCATGCTACTGACAACCATGCATCTACAATGCCAGTATTGCTGGCTGGATTCGTGGGGTTTCCCAGGAATCCCATTAGAGCAGCTAGCGCCTTTGACATAGCTCAAGTGTTGGTTTTCTCTAGCACAGTGTCAGCAAACTCCTGGGCACTGCTGGAGCCTTCCAAATTTGTTTAGTACAATCTTGATTCTGCCACATGTGACCTAGCTAATTCTTAGCTGTGGAATGCCAGAGTATCTGTAATATCTAGCAACTGCAAATTTGGAGAAGATTTGCCATCATTTCTGTTCCTAGCTCTTCATTGCCACTGCTCCAAGTTTCCTCTGGAGGAGAGATAAGGGGCCTAGCTGTGAAATAGCAAGTCTGATGAAAAATCTCCATATTCTAGTGGCCCCTCCATATATTACCAGTGGCCCCTTGGAGTGTAATGAAGCCAGTATTGGTTATGTGGATTATCTTTGTTGTTCTTTTTGACCACTTAATTTTAATATTACTTAGTACTTCTTGCATTTTAATACTAGATTTCTTCTACATGCATTGTAATGTCTTAAATTTTAACTTTTATTATATTTTGTATGAAGCCATTCTTTCAAACTTCTTTGCTTATAGATGCTTGTTGCAAGCAGCTTGGAGTATAGCTTTCTGGGGAAGGTAGCCGTATTCATAGTAGTATTGATTTAAACCTGGAAACATAATTCTTTGTGTTTTGCTGCAGGTGAGGTTGTATGTTTATCTTACATAATGGGATGGAGTGCCAGGAAGGAGATCTATTCCTTCTCATCCTAGATAGCTAAGTAGGACTCCTGTTCTAGCAAATGTGCTTCTAATGTGGTGGACCATTTAGCAGTCTCTTGCTATCTGTTTCCACCTTACAGTTGCACTTAAAAGAAACTGTTGGTCACTTTCTCCCCGATCCCCCTAAAACAGAAAATTGCTAGATATCTTTGGCAGATGTGGGGTGTAACTTCCCATTAAGTGATATCCTGAGAAATACCGGCATCCTTCTGCTTTCTCTTCAGCCTCTTTGAGCAGTCTTTTGATGACTCCACTGCCATCTCCAAGCTCCTCTTCCAGCAGCTACTGGCGCCGTCAGCTAAGATATCAAACAACAAGTTTGGAAAATGGCATTATTCCTAGGTGGTAGGTTTTGGAATCAATACTTTCCTGAAATGCAATTGCATGGGCACTCTAGATTTAAATTTATGGGATGTTTTCTTGCCTTTATGTAATCATCTATAAACCATATATACGTGTTTAAACACCCAGCAACAGTTGGATACCAAGAAAAACGGTCAAAAGGGCTGGTAGGTCAAATGCATTTTTAACAGTCGTTTAAAATTACAATAGTGTACGGGCTTCCCTGCAGACTCTGTTTTGCAGCAGAGGCGCTGTTGCCTCTTCCAAATGGTGGTATTTAAAGTGACAGGTTTGGGCTGTGGGGAGGAGTTCACATAGAAAAGGACACTCCTGAAAAGCGTCAGGTCAAAATGTGCGAGTCTGTTGGGGCACTCCCATTGGCCTTTGGCCCAACTCATCACTAGAATGCATCACTGAGGGCTTCTGCAAATGGAATTGAGACCTCAGATTGAAAGGGATTCTGCACCCCAGTATAAGGCTTAATAAATTCAGGAGCACACAAATTCAAACAAACGATGCTGGGGGCAAATGTGGTGATTACCCAGCAGGCCCTGCTTTTAGTTTACAGAAGTCTATGGCTGACTGTAGTTGGAAACTGAATATGTTTCTTAATGGACCTTGATTTGACCCATTAACTTAGACAAGTAAGTTGTTATGTACTGAAGCCAGCTGTTGAAAGCACAGAAGGGAAATAGCAAAGCTTGAACATACCAGAAGAGAAACTAGAGTTCAGAAGGTGTCTGAGACCTTGTGGGGGAGGAAAGGAAAAAAGAGGAAAACAGAAAAATCTTTCATCCTTGGATATGTTTAGTTACAATAAACACCTTTCCACTTGGATTCTATCTTGAGGAAGGCTATTTCTTTAAATCATCTTAGTATTTTGACCAAATATTATCATTCCTGGGATGCCTCTGTTGGTGCAGGGTGAGGTGTTCTGCATTTCAAAATTCCTACTTGTAAGTAAATGAATTTGATAAAAGTGGTATGCATGCGCATGTAGCTATAGAAGCCTTCTTTCAACTCACTGAGTTGTTTCCAGTGTTAGCTGTCCTTAGAGTAAATCCATTAGGGTTTACTTAAGTCAGACTAACACTGGAAACAACCTATTGCAGCTCTGAACAAAAATTATTGAAGGTTATTTACATGTACATTTGGCTTCCCTGCAATTTTCTTCCCCGCAGGCCAACTGAAGAAACATTCAGCATGGCAGATGAAAGTTGTGGCCTCAATCCTGCAATGGTTCGGAGGAAGAAAATTGCCATCAGCATCATTTTTACCCTCCCAGAAAAGGAAGAGGCCCAGAGAGACTTCCAGGATTTTTTCTTCTCCCACTTCCCTTTATTTGAATCCCATATGAGCAAGCTGAAGAGCGCAATTGAAATGGTAGGGCAATGGAACAATTCTATCCTTTCACAAAACATCATTGTTATTTGTGTTACTTGATAGATACCAATTACCACCAGTGATGCCAGTTGATATGGGAGGCAAATCTTTGGTGACTGAGTCTCCCTTTAGCGGTATTGTGCTCATTTGTTGTAGCAGTGTGAGAGTGAACTGGCCCTGCCCCAGATGTGACACACCTCCAGGATTTCTCTGCTCCCTGGTGGCTGCGCATACAGTGCACATGTCTGAAGCACAGAAGCCTTTGTAGCTTATGCAAAGCCCTCCTAGCAATCTGCAATCCTGCATCAGCAACACGCTAAATCAGGTGTGTGTTCCATGCTGGTCCTGTACATTCCTGTATGTGCAAATTCTTCCCTGCTGCAGACATTTGCATGACATGTGCAGATACCCAGAGGATGGCGAGCTGAAGTGCTTTGCATCAACTAGGCACAGTTGCGTGGCTTTGCTCACACTTGGATAGAACAAATGAGTGATACCTCCTAGGTCCAGGGGGCAAGGACAGATCTCCTTCTTGAAGCACCAGGTCTTTTCCGTGGCATCACATTATCTACAAACATGGAGACATGTCTGCCAACCTCTGAAAGTATTGGAACATGAGTCTTGTGTAGAGAATGATGTTTAAAAGCTGCTGTGCTGAAAGAACCGAGCTAAAATTTATGGCTCAGCATTGTCTCTCCCCTTCTCAAACCAATTTATTTGTTTATTTCATATGGTGCCCTTAAATATGGCAGATTTTTCCTGGCTTCTATACCTAAGAGTTTCAGGCAAATAGCTCTGTGAAACATTCTCATTAAACCCTTGAACAAAATTGTCCTAGTCTTTTTTTAAAAGCTCATTATGATTACTTTTCCCCCAAGGCAATGGTCTCCTGTAGAAAAATAGCAGAAACTAGCCAAAGAGTGCAAGTTTACATCAGCCGTGTCATGGATGCTCTGGATGAATTTAGGTAAGTTACTCTTCCATGGAATTGTCCAGGGACAGGCAAGTAATAGATTTGTCTTTTACCTTACCATTCCAGTCCTGATGACCTTTGGTATTCTCCTTGTCATTCTAATCTTGAGTTTCCTTCTCAGTCAAGTGGATTTCAGTTTCTTTTCAAAAGATACTAAATTTGCAAATGCAGCTGTATAACCATTTCTTTGCATGGTGAATAATAGCTATTTAAATGCAATGGCACTACTACTTAAATAAGCTCTAGTAATCAAAGAGAGCCAATGCAAGAGTTTGTTTCGAACACTTGTGCATCTTGAGTCAATTCTGAGCATGGTGAAATAGGCAGTGGAATGCAATTGGAGTGACTGTCTCCATCAGGGAAAGGTCAGCAGAATATTTTTTTTTGAAAAGCCACTCTTCTCAGTGCTGTAATAAATACAAAGCGATGGCTGCCTCTGTTAAATTTCCTCCTTGTAGCACACTCCTTAAGGGACTGGAGTCCCACTCTCGTTGTCTCCCCACCCACACCACCTAATAGGCTACAAATTAGATGGTTGGTCTCCAGGACCAGAGCTTATAGTTGCAGTTGTTTTGTTATCAGCAGTGCTCTGTTGCCTGACTTTGCAAATGAGCTCTCATCCTGCTCTGTATGTGCAGCAGAAACAGGTAGTCAGGCAGAGGGCACCCCTTTAGACGGCTAGTTTGCAGGATGGCAGCGTCCCTTTTGCGATCCACTCCATACAAAAAGGCTTCGGTTCTAATGTGGCATCCTTCACCTGTAATAGTAACCTCCATTTCATCCGCCTTGTGCCACTCCCCTCTTACATGTCTAAACCAGGTCTTTTATCTAACTTACGACTTTTGTCTCATTTGTGCAACGTACTTGGAGAACAAGCAGCTGCTTTTACACTGATTTTCTTGGCCTGCTAGACCACGGTGGCTTAGCCGCGTTGTCGGAACCCAGCAGCATGGTTTGTTAGCAAGCCACACTTTGGCTTACAAGACAACACAGCTTGGCGTGTCATGTGAATCTGGCCTTTGTGATAAATATTTTTGAACTACCCCATTTCTACCAAGAATGTGTCTTGCTGTTACTGAATGTTTTGGTGAAACATTTTGGTCCTGGAGATCAATTACTACTAATACTTACAGGATAGAAAATGGGAGCATCTGTGATGGAAATTTAGCTATAAGTTCCTCAACATAATAATCAAGATAGCTTGATGACATTCTCACCCAGCTAGCTATGGCGGCGTATTGTGTTCAACTGTTGATGTTGTACCTAATATAAAATATCCACTATATTATAAAATATCCCCTATGGCGAAATCGGGGAAGCTGTTAGACTTTGGAAAGTATTAGTGTTTGGATAAGGATTTCATGCTTCACTCTGGCTTCTGTGTGGGTTTGGTCATCTGACCACATTTCAGCTCATTATTTAAGCACCTGACTGGGGCCAGAGCCAAGATGGAGAGGGTGGGTAGGGATTATATAACAGAGCATGTGAGTCAGAGATGAAACACACAACATAAACATGCCCTTCAAAACTATGTCTTATGACTTGCTGCCTCTCAACTACCCATGGGACTTGTAGGCAATAGGTATAAACCGTGTGTAGTTCAACAGAGCCCCAACTGTATTCACTTAAGGCTAAGGGAAAAATACTCCTCTTCAGTATCACAACTGTCTATGGGCTATGAGCAGAAACTTGCAATGTAATTTGCAGACCTAAATAATTGTTTTTTCAACAGAATGTACACATTTGAAAAATGCATGGGGAAAGTGGTGCTTCAAGAAAATATATAAAATGTGTTTGAATATATTTATTTTATCCTTAGTGATCAGATGAACCCGGTTAAGTAAAGCTTCACACCACGGGTGGTCCTAGGTATCAAAAAGAGCTGGACCTGAGAGCCACAGCACAAAAATTCAAATAAATTTGCACATGTAAATATATGTGCATAATTGGAAATAATTCCAGCAATTTGAATGTTATAGAAAGCATGCTAATTAAGCTCGTTTGCCTTCAGAATACATCTGCAGAGTGTCCCTAATTTTGCTTGTTTAAACCTTACCTTTGCATAACCTTAGCCTTCCAGGCCTATATCCAGTTGTGGAGGATGGGCCTGCAACCAGTAAACAGCTGTTTGGCACCTTATATGCTTACAAATTAATTGCAAACTAAACATAACACACCTGCAAGGGAAAATGTGGGAATGCACTATAGAATGTAATCTATGCTTTTAGGCTGAAAACATACACACTTATGAAGATGTGACCCCCATTAAACAAAGTGGAATTTACATCTGAGTACAAACTCACTCATTTTTCCCCTACCAAGACATGCAAGAGCACTTCATACTTCCTCTCCTTGTCATACAAAGTCAGCAACCACTGATGGAGTAAAATTAATGGGCTTCAAATTCAAATGAAACATTTCGTCCCACTCAGGTTAATCATGTCTCCAATTCTTGCTGGGAAGATGCAAACTAAAGACAGAAATTTGCCTTTCATTTTTTTCCTGTAATTCTCGATTCTTTGAGCAAAGATGCTTCCACTCCGAAGCTCCTCCAGCAGAGATTGGAACTGGGGTTCTACCAGAATAAAGTCAGAGATTCTGAGGCTGCAGTTGATAGAAACAGTAGCTCTATGCACCCACCAATAGAACTGCACTGTAAGCTGGCAGTCCTATAAACAATTACTTGAAAGTAAATCCCACTGAGGTTGATGAGACTTACCTCTGAGTAGACATGGCTGGGCTTGTGCTGTAAACTGGGCATTCAAAACCGATTCTGGGGCAGAGCTCCGGCTCAGAGTAGCACTACAATTTTCTGTGTGCTCGCTTCAGAGTAGACAATACTGTAATTAGTAAGCATGCTTACTTGGGAATCATCGTTTGCCAGGCCAGCCTTTGGGGCATTCAGATAAGCGGCTAAACCAGTTTCTCCAACCTTCCTCTGCTGTGCAGAAGCTGAATACTTCCGAATCCTGTCCTACTGCATTTTATGGAATCCGCTCTCCAGGGAGGTGTGCCTGGCGCCGACACTTGATACGCTTTGGCGCCAGGTCAAAACCTTTTTAATCTCCCATTATTTTAAATGCTATGCATTTTTAAATTGGTTTTCATTATAATGATTAGTGACAGTAGTTCACCAGGTGTTGTTGTTTTGCTTGTATCCTTGTACAGCTTTTTGGTGACTGTTATGCTGTTTAATGTTTACCTATTTGTAAACTGCCCTGAAAGCAATGTGCCGAGGGAATGGTGTCTATTTTCAAAAAATAAATAAATACCAGCGTGTCATGACAGCAGCCTCCGTGACCCTCAGGGGAGGCTTGCTGTGCCAGCCACAAGCTCAATGGGAGTGCCCTACCCACACACCCAGGGTTTCTCTTTCCACCGGCTTTACTGGCATGGCTGCTTGAGCAAAAGGGAGGGGAAGGAAGGAAGGAAGGAGCTGCTGCCTTGGTGGGATAGCACAGCAATCCAGAAAGAGGCAGCTTTGCAGGCAGCAAGAAGTTGCTAATCATGAGGGGTGCCCAGTGATGAGACTTGTTGCAGTCCTCCTGTTTCTCAGTTCAGACATCCCCCTCAGCAAGGATTTAGGGCTCTGGGCCTGGTCGCCCACCCCATCCTGCAGCCGTTACTTTGCAGTCGCTGCCTTCGCCGTCAGGAAAGGATGCATCGGACCTCTCCCCTTGCCTTTTCAGCATTGCGACGCAAGAGCCATGCTGGATCAGACAAAGGCCCGTGTAGTCCAGCATTCCTTTTCTTGTCCCAGGAGTCTGCCTTTGCAACCTAGCTTGTCTTCCCTACCTTGGCAGAGGGATTTTGCCATATCTGCTCTTTTCAGCTCATTGATCTCTTCTGGGGTTCCTTCTCTTTGGTAGAGTCACAATCTGGAATTTGTATTCAGTTCCAAGGATTGCAGAACCCGTTTGGCTTACCATGATGTCTGGTGCTTCAGAAAAGATCCTCTTATGCCAGCACTTTTTCAAGGAGTTCACTGCACTGATCGAACAGACCAGCAAAAACCAGTAAGTTACTGTGCTGCCTCCCTTGCTGTGCTCCCCTGCTTGGAAGCAGCCAGTTTATTGCACTGCTCACTGACTTCTTTCTGGGTCTTATCTCCATAGGTTCTTAGCTGCACTGCTGACAGCGGTGCTGACCTATCACCTGGCCTGGGTCCCAACGGTGATGCCAGTTGACCATCTCCCTCTCAAGGCCTTTTCCGAGAAACATGCCTCTCCGTCTGTGAATATGCTGGCAAAATCTCATCCTTACAATCCGCTCTGGGCTCAGCTTGGTAAGCGCAAAACTTCCCATTTGAACTTGAGATTTCTTTATTGGATTAGATCTTTTTACTCTGCACAGGTATGTTTTTGTGACTGTGCATGAGAGACTAGCAGAATATGGGAATAGTCAGGCCATAATTAGAGAACTACTTGACAGACGAATATGTGGTGGGGCTTCTGACTGTGTTTTGGAATATCTGTTACCTTCACAGTTGCATGTAAGCACCATATTGGCTTTACAGAATACTTTATGCAGCATATGTGTGTACCATGCAACCAGAAGTTGATCCAGTAGGCTTAGAGATCCTGTGGTCAGTTTTCTCTGTATCTTCATGAAGCATGGCAGTGCCCTCTAGTGGTTACTGAGTAGGTTGCAAACTGCATAATTGCCTTTTAATTCTTTTTGCTCTTTTGGTGGCAATGAAGTGTAGATGCAGGCAATAGATTTTCTTTTTGTTCATCATCAAAGCAAATCAGCACAGCTTCTTTTGATTCTTTACATTGGCAGGGAATCCACCAAAATAATGTGATACATCCGGTAGATACATTCAGCAACCTACATCGGAGATCATATTACTTCTTTCTCCTTTAGTTTAACTGTTAAAGCCATGGCCGTAGAGACGGAAGAGAATCCCTCTATAGACCCAACAGTTCCACTTGTTAGGGCTTTAGTGGCCTGCACAGTTCTCTCTTCTTAGCTATGACCACGAGAGGAAACAATCCAAAGTAACATGATCTCTACAGATTTCTTTCGGAGATGCTGCTGAGTAAGTGAACTGGTTTTCAGAGTGATTTGACAGCTTTAAATTAGCAAAAAGTATTACTCAAGAAGTTTATACTTTATCAGTTTTTCAACTTCATGGTGCTTTGCATGTAAATGGCTGCCTTTACTGCTTTCCGAGTTTGGTTGACCACTTCTGTTGTAGAGAGCAAATCTGTAAGCTCAGAGTTGTTAACCCATATTGCATTGTGTTACTGTTATAACTGAAATCTAGCATGGAAACAGAAAGATAAAATGCAGATTGCTTAATTTTCTAATCTGGAGGTGTTGACAAACTGATTTTAGAGCAGAGCATGCTCCTCCCTGGTAATGGTTTGGGAAGAACTGTGGGAAGAAAAGACTTGGGAAGAAAAGAACAGAAAAAGAAATTAGGCAATGCAAATACGTCTTGAGAGCATGACCCAACCAAACTTCAGCATTTTTGCCTCATTGATTTGCACTGGGATGTTAACCATTGGTGTTAATTTTTCCATTCATTTTTTCTTGTCACTTAGGATGGTGCTATGATTGTTTATTTATAAAATTTATTACCCATTTTAAGCATAAAATAATCCTAAAGTGAGGTACAATACTTGCACAACATAGGAAACCATATAAAGTAGACTGATCATACAGTAAAACAGGATCATGTTTCATTTTTCAGTGCAGAATTTCATTTGTAGACTGAGAAATTGCTTCAGACTAGTTCATTTTTAATGATGTAATCTTTCTGTTCCCTGTCTATCTTGCTTGATAGCATATCGTGATTCTCCCTCTTTTTTCTTATGCATATCTAGGTGACTTGTATGGTGCTATAGGTTCGCCAGTCAGGATGGCAAGGACTGTAATTGTTGGAAAACGTAAGGATTTGGTTCAGCGCATACTCTACGTTCTTACATATTTCTTACGGTGCTCTGAACTGCAAGAGAATCAGCTGACCTGGAGTGGCCAGGTTGGAAAAGGAGAGCAAGCCCTGAGTGGCAGCAAGCTCACAACAGCCCTAGAAAAGGGAGAAGTTGAGGAATCCGATTATGTGGTGGTCACCGTTAGAAATGAACCTGCTCTCATACCTCCTGTTCTGCTCCCAAAGGACAGAAGCCCTGTTCCTAGGGGGCAAAAAAGCTGCTCAGAGCCTGCCTACTTGAAATCAAAGCATGATGGAATGCATGGCGATCCGCATTCTGAGGCACCTTCTTGCTTGCCCCGAGTTGGCTGCCCAAAAAGAATTGTGGAGGAGGCAACGAAGGGAAAAACTCTGGCCAGTTCAGAACCTGTGTCTGCAGGGCCAGCAAGATTGGAAAACTTAACAGCAGGAGTGAATGATGGCAACCAGTGCAGTGTCAAAGGACACGTGCTTGGCAGCTTGACAGCTCTACAGCATCCGGAGAGGATTGAGCAGAGGTACCCTCACTTGGAAAAGGTTACCTTTCAGATTGGAAGCTCCACCTCACCAGAATCTGATTTAGAAACCCAAAGAAAGGAGATGGACAAAACGATGGGGATGCTCAGGGGTAAAAGCAAGTCCCTGCACATGGTGTCAGGTCCACTACATACAACTGCCCAGGCCCAGCAGGAGAAATCTGACATCTGCCTTAAACCCCGTGCTAGACAGAGAGCTAATAAAGCCCGAGTATCAAGTGCATCTTGCTCGTCAGGTCAGCTGTCTGTACTCTCTGACAGCAGAGTCAAAATTACAAATCTGGGAAAGCGAGAGAAATCTGAAAGTACATGCTTGGAAAATCTGGAAGGAGATTCTCTCGACTGCGATTCCGGAAGTTCAACTGATATACATGGGTCTGGCCAAGCAGCTACTGAGGATATCCCCTGTGGGGAAGCTGGAAGCAAACACCCTTTTAGAATGGAAGAGGACCTTCCCAGAAATGAGAGCTCTGACAGTGCCCTGGGAGAGAGTGATGATGAGGGCAGTGCATGCATTCCAGCTGCACACGTGCCAAGTCTTGTCAACAGTAGGTCTGAAGAGCTCTCTGAAGTGGAACTTGCTCTGCCGAGGTAAAAAAAAAAAATGCCCGTCTCTCTAGATTTGGCTGTCTGGATTGCATTGTTCCAAGATATTTCTTGGATAATCCGATGGAACCACTAACCTGCAATTTAGCCCAACTTAAGAGGGATCTTCATTACATGGCAGCATTAACACTGTTCTAGGATAGCCTAAACTAATGTAAACTGAATTTTCATTAAATGAATTATACTTGTAACATAACTTAAGGTATTACAGTGCTAGAGGCTGCTTAATTTGGTTAAAGAGAACAGAAGACCCAGCTTTTTTGTATTACTTTGCATGCAAACAAAAGGTCTAACACAATTTCATAGGTTGTGTTCAGTGGTGTCATAGCACTAGTACAAGTGAGATTGCACTAGTCGGGTCCAAGTTCTGAAGTGTGCTCAAGGGGAAGATTGAACTTAAGTTCCCCTTGTGCAACCAAGTTGTGGACCTTAGATTCAAAACATAATGGCAACCAGGGAAAAAGTAGTGGAGCTCCACTGCAGTGTACAATGTACAAATGTCATCCTCTAGTGGTATGTGGGATTAAGGTCTCCTTCCTCAGATGCATACTATGTTAGTTGCAAAAGTTTTCAACTGAGCTATGGGAACGAATGCTACAGAGCTGAACTTATCCAGTGCAGAATATTATTTGTGGCCCTTTTGAGAGAGCTTGGAGGTAGGAAAGCCTCTTCATAGCAAGTATAGTTGAAAGTATGTAACTACATTCTAACTGCAGGGGGTTTACTTGCTTGTTGATTGAGGCACCCTAACTGGCTCCCTGTTGGTAAGATGGTAGCAGAGGAGAAACACCTGAAGGCCATTTTCATGGCTATTCTAGATTCTGGACTCTACTCTTGTAGGCCATTCAGATAGGATATGGACTGGCCAAAATAGCTCCATTTCTTGACTTTTTCAACATCTTTTACCAAGGAAGCCAGAGAAACGTCTGGGTGCTAAATGAGCAAATGATTCCTGTGTTTCAGTTCCAGTACAATCAGTGCTCAAAGCACGAAGCATTTTGGAAGGTCCCTTCTGGGTGGCTATTGTGCCGCATACATGCCTGATCTGGTGTTGCATGGAATAAGTACCGATGAGCAACTTAAACAGTGCTTACCAGCAGAGTTGAGTCATGCAGTGAATGTAAGTCTGTGTGTGTTTCTGGAGAAGAAGATTCAGCAGGATGAATGTGGGCAAAAACCTGGCAGAAGGGGAGGGATTTGGAGGGTTAAGCAGAACTGTCAGTGTGCCAAATGGAAAATGCAGAGGGAACCCCAAGTAGGGTGCCCTCCAAATGTTTAGACTACAGTTCCCATCATCACTGGCCATTGGCTCAGGCAGAGTGAAGTTTGCAGTCCTACATCAGGATGGCACAAGACTGGGAAAGGTAGCTCTAAGCTCTAATAGAATTCATTTGCTTAAGTTGCTTATAAAGTGACTAGGTTAGGCGTGCAGAACCTCCCTTAGCCTTGCATTTCAAACCAGCCTTCAAGGACCACATTGCAGTGGCAGCTGGGGATGAAGGCAAAGGGGTATGGCAGAACACTCGCATGTTCTAGCTGAAGGTTCTTCCTGCCGGTAACTAGGCCTGAGGAGAGGGTTTTAAAACTTTAGAATTGCGGAGAGGTGCTACACAGAAGTTTGGAAACCACCAAACAATTGGTGAGTAGAACCGGAGGAAGAGCATACAGTCATCTGGAGAACTTTGGAGGACCCCATTGGGTCACAGCCTTGAGATTCCGTACTGCTGTGTTTGATCAGCTCCTGTAGAACAACAACTGTAAATGTCTGTTATCAATTTATAGCAAGAAATAGAACCCGCCTCCCATGGAAGGCAAAGTGTCTCTAAGTAGCAGATCCTGGAAACAAACCTAGGAAGATCATAGCTGCAGCATCCTATTTATGGACTTCCAAAGGCAGCTGGCTGACCTCTAACTGGAAATAAACATTATGTCCAGATAGACCTTGGTGTGATCCAGAAAGTTAATAATTCACAGAACTAGTTCTCACAAAGGTGGAAAACTGGTGTCCTGGATGTACTATTTCAGACTACAGGGGCAGTTCTCATGGTCAGTGCTCCTCATGCAAAATGTCCATCCATACAAGAAGTTGCATGTCAAGGAGTATCTCCCCAGTCTGAGGAGGTGAGGAGACAAAGGGTACCAGGAAAGGTATGATGGTACAGCCTTTTGATGTGACGGTACATCAACAGCCAGGGTCCTAAAGTGAGAACCATACTCAGGTAGATCAGGAAGCTATCACTGCATTAGGCTAGGCTGATTTTTGAAGCTTGTTGACTATATGGTGGCCATATAACAAAAAGGAGCATTCTTATGATCCAGAATGAGACACAGCCATATTAAGAGGCTGATCACAGGGAGCTGCATTGCCCTAGCTGAGACCTAGCTGCATTACCCTATTTGCTTGTCTGGTCCAGTTTTGCCTACTCTGTCTTACACTCCCAGATCTCTTGCAGGAAGGATCTCTGGTTTGCTGCTTCCCTGATCTTTTTTTTTTTAAACCTGGAGTTGCCAGAGAACATAGGACCTTCTGCATGCAAAGCTGGCTTTCTGCCACTTCGCCTCCCAAATGTATATAAGGGCATTTGTGCCAGTTGGACCCGATCCAAAAAGCTGTATATGTGCAGATGTATGTGTAGATCTTTTGCATACTTGAGCTGCCCTTTTGTTTAATTGGAGTGGCCCTATCCGCATGCGCATACAACCCTCACACTGAAATGCGTAGACAATATTAATGAAAAGGCCATTGTAGCTCCATGTTAGGGCAAAGAGAACACTCTTTGCTGCATTATTTGTCAATAGAATTTTGCATTTATCACATGATAAATGCCACCCAAACTCATTCAATCAATTTCTAAGGAGAGGGATGAAAACCTGTTGTCCTCAATCCTTCCATTTGTCACTGGCTCCAAAGAACACCTGCAACTGTTGTCTGCAAAAGGTTTCTTGTGTTAAATTCTACTGAATGCAAGTTGAAAAAATTCTGAGGTCAATATATAATGACTTTTCACATAATGAACCTAAACCAGTGAACAGCAGTTTGGAAATGTCTTGTTTTCAGTTCATTTTGGTGTGTGTTTTTACAGCACCCTGTACTAGATGAGCCCATAGCAGAAGCTGTTTGCATTATTGCAGATACAGATAAATGGACAGTACAGGTGGCCACAAGCCAGAGAAAGATGATGATGGACAACATAAAGCTAGGCAAAGATGTCCTGGTCTCCAGCCAAGTGTCTTCTTTATTGCAATCCATTTTTCAGCTTTACAAACTTAACCTTCCTGCTGACTTTGTAAGTACCCATTTGCAAATGACTGCATACAATAGGTATTGATTGCCAGGAAAGGTATGATGTGCAGTTGGTTTTTGAACTTCATCTACCACTTCACTGGCTTTTCAAATCTACAAGGGGAGCATGCTGAATAATGCCTTTTCCACCGTGCCCAGTTAACAGAACTATTTGCTGTTGGCAGAACTGAATAGTCGAGGGTCAAACAGATTATGTTAATTATATAGAATGCAGTTGACCCAACCCTTACTAGAAATTCCAATCAGAACTGCTGTACACTGGGAGCATTTAACCTCTCCCCCCACCAGCTAGCCACTTTCCAAAACCTTCCAGACCAACCTTACAGGGGTTTATAAAATAGGGGAAGCCTCCATTGGTGCCAGTGGAAGCTTCTCCATTTTGGTACATGGTAGTCAAATTGTAATTGACATAACATATAATTGATATGACATTAGGAATACTCCTCTTTGGCAGCTGCTGGAAATTTGGAAACTTTTCTCTAGGGGCTTTCCTTTCTTGGCTACCGACTGGTTTTTCTATTCGGACAGCCCATGGTGCCATCTTTATGCTCTGTGACCTGCAGACCCAGCAGTAGCATCACGTGCAATTTCAAAATTGGCTTCTCCCTCCATACTCTTTAAGTGGGATGGACTCTGGGGTGATATTAAGCATCTCATAGCTTCCCAAGCATTCCCGTTCCTGGTACTCCTAATTCTTAGTAACGCCACACTCACAATATCTGGGCAAGTATACTAAAGGCCCAGTGCTATGCAAACTTAGACAGAAAAAGGCCTGGCTGAGCTGGCTGGATGCCAAAAGCCTTTTTCTGTCAAAACGTTCATAGGACTGTGTTGTAATTGCTCTCTCCATCCCGCTAGCCACTATCGCAAAATGGCCTACATCAATAAATGCTGAACTAGACAGGATTGTGGTTTGGTCCCAGCAAGAGAGGATCTTGCATCCTCTTGTAAGTTGTCCACTTTACCTTTTGCAACTTATTCCACTGGATTTGTTCACTCTGGGCTTTCTTCTCTGTTCTCAGTGTATAATGCATCTTGAGGATCGACTACAGGAAATGTACCTCAAAAGCACAATGCTGTCTAAATATTTGCGAGGTCAAACACGAGTTCATGTGAAAGAACTTGGAGTGGTATTGGGGTAAGTAATGCTGAAACTCCTTTAGTTTGGGATGGAGGGATCTTTCATGCCTCATGCTAAAAAAATTCAGGAGTCACCTTGTCTTTCCATTGTTGATTTCTTTGTAAAAGGCAATGAAATGAGAATTGTATGTGTCTCTCACCCTCCCACTTAACCAGCTGGAAACCAGACTGAGCTGTTAAATGTAAGAAAACACAACATATTTCTGTGTCTCTCTTAGTTCACTCTCTGAACAAACTGAAATGAAGAATAAAACAATGAGTAGACGGGAGTTTTCTGCTATGCGGGATGAGAAAGAACAATGTTTGACTATCTTGGTGTAGGGAGATGGATCGGGCTATCTCATATTAAATGTGTTGAGTAGAAAATATAGCTCTGTTGTATGTTGGCTAGTAATATATTAATGACTTGAAGTGGTAATTGCACTTGTCATGTGCCCCATTACCTGGTTCTCACAGAAAGTCTCATCTTGTGCAGATTGCAGAGAGATTTGTAATATGAATGTTTGTAATATTAGCTGCAAACCTGTGCACATCATAGGAAGTAGATAAATGCAATCCTGACAACTAGTCAGGTAGTTTCTGATTTCTATGAGCTGAAGTCCCACAAAGGCTAGACATGGACATGGTAGTCATGTCAGTCGGCTGGAACTGGGGGTCAGACTAGATGGCCCGGACACCCCTTCTGACTCGCTCTGTTTCTATGTTTCTGAAGGGAGAAAGTTCCCATCACACTGCCAAATGAGAATAGTAACGCACTCTGGATTTGAAATCTAATCTTATCACTGAAAGAGCACAGTTTCACAGCAAGCTTAATTAAAAGGAGATATGCTTAATTGAAAGCAGAAAATAGAATCACGCATACAGTCTTAAAACTGTTCTTTAAGCAGCAAGTTGCAGTACCTGTTGACAAAGGCAGTGCACTGGCCTGGCATTCAGGACAGGCCAGATGCTGCTTCCAGATACCAGAATCAGAGATAGCCACAGAAGGTTGCACCCACTTTTTTATGGTTGAGCTTTTGTTAATCCCCTATCTCGTGTTCAAAGCTCTGTCCCCATCTGTGTCAGATATCGATGACCTAATTCTGCTCACACCTGTCCTATCAGTACCTCCTAAGTTTTAGTGTTGTGAAATCCCCCCTCATTTCCTTTTGTTCTAGCCTGTTCTAAACCATTTCATGGCAAGTGGGCATCCAGTTCTTTCTCAGACACTGGGGTTTTTCCCCAGCTGAGACAAAGTGCTTCTGCTTAGCTAGATCTTGATTGTTGAAGTTTCACTGGAAGTTATCCAAATAGGGTAACCTATGCCCTATTTGGTGGACCTTTCAGCCTTACAATACTTAGAATAAAAATAGTAATAGTAATAATATCACACCAATTCCCAGAAATTGGGACTGTAGGTGTCTTATACTTACCTTGGAATAAACAACCCTGAATTCAGCAGGGCTTACTTTAGAAATATATAGGATTTCATATTTTTTTTAATCTACAAACTGGGAGATTTGCTCTCTTCCTTGAATGTGAAAATGTGGGCAACTGTGTTTAAATTCCGTGTCCATAAATGGTATCTCAAGAATGCCATTCTTCACTTGGTTCATCAACTGTGTTCACTCATGGAAAATGGGAGTTGGCTACATAATTTGTGCCTTCTTGAGTTGCAGACTAATCTTTTGTATTATGCTCTTCACAGAGCTGTCTTTGCAGACTGCTTGGAAACCGTTGGTATAGGACAGTGATGGCAAACCTTTTAGAGACCCACTTATTTATCACAAACTGCCAACACTGCAAAAAAACTTAAACTGAGGTTTTGATTTAGAAAAAACAACTCACAGCCAGTCCAAGCAACTCTCTCTCTCTCTCTCTCTCTCTCTCTCTCTCTCTCTCTCTCTCCCTCTCCCTCTCCCTCTCCCTCTCCCTCTCCCTCTCCCTCTCCCCCCTTGGCAGTACACTGACAGGCCATGCGAAAGCTCAGACGAGCCATGGCTAATGAGTCGCAGCTTGTGACATCATCGTCTGGTGCCACTACTCCTTTCCGAGCATGCGCATGTCCCCTGTGTGCACTGTAATCCGATGCTCGGCTGCGTGCCAACAGAGAGGGCTCTGTGTGCCCGCTGTGGCATGCGTGCCATAGGTTCGCCACCACTGGTATAGGATGCTACCACCTCTCCAGTGAGTGTGGGTCAGCAGAAATGTCTGCACTGATTACCTGTGCGTTTCCAGGTCAAGAGGCTGATCTTGATACACAGCTCTGTATCTTAAGTATTTTAAAGAGTGCCTTTTCCTATACAAACTGGACAAGGGTTACAGATATAGTAGTCAGGCCAGCTCCTCTAATTTTAAGGCATTACTGTTTCCTGTGTGCCTTCTTCGTTAGTCAAGTAAGAATGCCTTTATTCTGTTGAGTGTTTGGGGATTAGTCATGCATGGCTTGTGCAGTTCTTCAATTTAAATAATGATGAGGTTTTTAATATTTGGTGTGAATTGTTCACAATCACTTAGAAAGCCAAATGGAAACTGCCCTTTGAATAATTTTCTGTTCAAGGGTTATATATGTAAGATGTAGGTCACTAAAATACATCGGAGGATCCACTATGAGTGTCAGAAAATTGATCTGTAGCAAGTGGCCACCCTGGTTTTAGAACATCAGATGTCTCCAATTTATTTTTACAACATATAAAGCAATTAAATAATGGAATGCCGACAAAATAATCATTGTCAATGACATGTCATTTCAACTTTTTGTTCATTATTCACTGTGCTATTTTTTGCCATTTTGCTTTTTAAAAAAGGCACAACTGCATCCAAAATGCCATTCAGTTCCCACTACAGAGACTACCGGGGGAGAAGGGTGTTTCATCCATCTTGGTTGGATGAAACTACCAAAGGGTAGGGTAGGGTGTCTTGCTGAATTATACAGCTGTGGTATTTAACTTGCTTTCTGGGCCTTTTTGTGTGTTTGTTACTGCCATGATGAAACCTTTCCCCTCACCATGTAATCCATATAGGGAGCACCTTACTCCACATATTCCTAAGATCACCAGCTCTGGCCCTCCTATGAGTTCCTGTCCTTAAGGAGGTTAAGGGGGAGGTTGTAGGGAGGCGGACCTTTTTCGTGGCGGCATCCCAATGATGGAATGTTCCATGGGAGATTCATCAGGCACCTACCTTGTGGAGCTTTAAGCACCTGGCAAAACCTTTTCTTCTTCAGCACACCTATGGCACCACTTAGGCCATCTATATTAACCACGCTGGGTATAATATGTTAGGTTTTACTTTTACTTGACTATGTTTGTTGTGATTTTATGTTTTATTATGATATTTTAATTGTATCATTTTATGCAGTGTTAATATTGCTATTTTTATTCTACTGCTTTTTTGCCAAATTCATTTAGGAAAGGTCTGAATGATTTGGGGTGCCATTATCCCCATTGCTTTGCAATAGGGCACTTTCTGACACTATTATGTGTTTTGCAGTATGTCTTTGGATTATACCAACTAGAAATTTTAAAATGAATAAAGGACAGGATAGACTCATTCAATGTTCAAGGCACTTCCTGCTGTCAGTGATGAAGCAACAGAGTCATATATAGCATCAGAGATTCCTGTGCTCACTAAAAACCTTGTAGGATTGTACTTTTCTGAGATTTGCCCCACTATGTTCAGTAAGATAAAGATGTGCAGGTTTCAGTCTCACGTTTAATAAATCTCTCGAAGAGCCACCTTCTATTATGTGCTTTCCGTCTCCTCCCATCCTCGCATCCCAGCTGGCAGCTCACACGGGGATACTTTAACACTTCTTCGTAACTAACATATCATTTTCATTTCTAGGATTGAATCCAATGACTTGCCTCTGCTGGCTGCCATAGCAAGTACTCATTCTCCATATGTTGCTCAGATATTCCTCTAAGCTGAAACCTGGAAGGCAAAGTGAGTGGATTTGCAGTGGAAAAACAGAGATGCCAGTCAAGAAGAGACGAGGACCAGAGGACAGCCAGCAGGTGACAGCAGCTCTGTCACTTTTCCTCTTCTACATTTTGTCTGAACACTTAACAGTGGAACAGTTTACATAATGGGAAGGACAATTCAGGGTTTTTATATTGTCATGCATTCTTGTACTTTAATGGACAAAAAGGATTAAACACTATTGGTGGATACACTGCTTATACATAGTTTTCAGCCAAACGAAAAACAAAAATCCAAGTTTGGTTTCCTTACCATTGCACTTGTCCTTCAAACCCTTTTAGATGGGGAGTTGTAAGTAAACCTGTATAAGCATTCCTACGTTTGGATGATGATGAGTTGAAGGATGTATTTATGACTGTGCTCTTGTGTTACAGTGTTGTGTGGAACAAGGAATGGATATTCAGCTACTGGGTAAAAGCTTGTGTGCTTGATTGGTTCCTAAGTGAGCAAAACAACCCAAGGGGGCTGCATCTGTATTCAGTGTTCTTGGTGGAGAAGGAAGTCTCATCAGTGTTAGAGGAAAACAGAAAAAACTCATGGAGCCTTGGCATAACGTCTGCCTTGTTGCAAATTCCACATCTTGAATTCCTGCTTCCTTGACTTGTTAAAATGTAGGTCAGACATCCTAATTTATCCTATAATAGCAGTGCAAAACAAATTTTGTATGGGAGCTTTTAAGAACCAGTATGGTTATGAAGTTGGCCTAAATGTTGGGTAACTCATTTTTAAAGTCATCACTGTATCTTTGCCCTTGAATGTGCAGGAGAAACCCCGGGGAGGATATTTCTGGGGATGCAGAGAGGTGAGGTAACCACAGTAACAGTGACACAGCGATTCATTACGACAATTACAAGTGTCCATAAAAAGTTTTGCACTAGTTTCTCAGTGCCTTCCACTCTTGTAAGTCTTGTTTCTAAAAGAGAAAAATGAATTCAGGAGTTAACGATATCCTTCTCTTTTTAACAATATAGCATAGGCCATATACATCTTGGGTTTCAGACCTAGGGCTTTACTTAGAAGGTTCAGTGTATGTGAAGCACTGTAGATTACTGTGTGAAAGTAAAAGAAAGAGGAGTGTGATCTCTCCGGCAAAATTTCCTTGACACAGAAAACGCTAAGATTATCCTACTGGCCTAATACAGTCTCCATATTGGACTGACATTTCTAAACCAAGGTAGAAAGAAGCTTTGTCCTAGTTGGCAACTGACCTTAGTGGTGCTGGCAATCTTGATACAATGTTTACCCAAATACCAGTTTAATACTATAGCATTATCTTGTTCAGGGCTCGTCAGATTTTCCATTTTGTTCCATTGCTCCTTCATTCTCTGCAACATTTAATCAAAGAAACCTACACCTAGGCATTCCTGTTTTATAGAAGACAGTAGATAGCAGCATTGTTTGCTTCCCAATCCATTTTCTTTTGTGCATATTTGCTTTAAAAAATGAATACACTTATTCTAAATTGATGAAGGTTCAACTAAAACGGGAGCTTTTCACAGCGTATAAACTGAGAGTTGCCCTCGTAATTAGAATACTATTTTAGTAAACGTAGCTTTGTTCTATGTTCTAAGAAAAATAAATCTTTTCCCTTTCCCACTTAAAACAAAAAACTACCTCAGTATAGAGAATAAGCTGCCAGGAGGGGGCAACTTCAATTTGTGCACCTGTTGAACTTTGTGAAGGATTGTGCTGTAGCATCTGCAGAGTAAAAAAACCTCATACCAGGGGGTGTCCATGACTATTTTTTTTATTAGCATGTTTTAATACTGATATTTTCAATAGTTTTAAAACTGATACAGACAAATGTGAGAGTTCCTGAAACTGACAATAAAAGAAAGCTCTTTAAATCTTTAAAATTCCATTTTATATTTTTAATGGTATATTAAACAGTATTGTGTACCCTCCCCCTGCCACCGATTAGCAGACTTTTTCATTTCGTAAGTGGGAGCAAATCTCTTGAGAATATCACAGACCATATCTTGCAACATTAACCATGAATGTGGTTTTTCTAAAAGTATCTTAAGTTTTAATAAATAGAAGCAAAAAAGAAAAGCAGATGTCTTATTCTAGATGTTTGATTCAGATAAAAGGTTTGTAATACATTTTAATGCAATCAGAAGTTTTAGCGTGATGTGTAGCATTTGCAAAATATTGATGGGTAGTCAGTGTCTCATCTGAAATCAACTGTACTGGAAGTTCTGATTTCTTTTAAACTTAGTTTCCCACTAAACTGATTGCTACATAAGTGGAATGGGCCATGGACAAAAATAACAGCTGTATCTTTTTTCTCCTTCAAAAGTGTAGCAACAGTATCACAAGCAGTGTCAGTGAAGCATGTTACCTGGATTAGGTGAAATAACACATGACTAGGGAAAGGTGTGTGTGGGTGTGTGTTGCCGCAGTATGTCTTCAGAGAGAAAATGCAAGTAGTGCTTTTCTGATTGAGTGGATACCAATGTCAGACAGTGGAAACTTATTCTTTGAGCTGTAAATGTACAGTATCATTTGTGTTGATTTCTCTGTGGCACTGGTGCAATAAATTATATAGAACCATCTCATTAGTGAATGCAAAAGTCTATCATGGAAAATATTCTCTTCTAATGGACCACAATCTCCGACTGATTAGAAAACCTAATCCTACTCTGGAGGGATCTTTGCAGGAGCCAGGCCCCATTTCTTGGGCCTGACAGTATGAACCAACCAGGGCAGGAGATGTCATAGCAGCTGATGAAAAGAAATTAACAATACCAGTTCCTATCTCTGGGGGTGTTGTGGCAGCAGTGGAACCTACCATAGTGGGCTGGCCGTTGTGCAAACCCACAGTGTTCATAACAGTTTGTCTCACTGTGGGTTGTTTTCTTCTCCTTCCCATAGATATCCTGGGGAGGGGGACACTATGGCATGACCAAGTTGTCCCCCTCTCCCTGCTAAAATCACAAATGTTTTCTTTGCACATGTCCCTGGGGAGCTTTGACCAAGAAAAAATATGAAATCAGTTGGCTCTCCGTGTTCCCGATTACAAGGGACTCAGGAACCAAGTAGAAAAGTGAAAGCACCTTAGAATAGTTAAGTTCCCCTTGACAGAAAGAGGATCTTGCACAAGGCATGAGAGCTTTCTTTTTGGCAGCTGACCAAGCCAGTCAAAGGGTCAGCTGCTTCCAGAGCTCCAGCCAGCTCTTGGGAGCTCTCGAGATCAATGCCACTTTGCACTTTGGCAGAAGACACCTCCCTGGAGATTGCCCAGACGTTGCCCATTTAGAAACCTCTGTAAGTACACATGTGCACACTTGTATAAAATATGTGAAGATATTGCTTATATAAAGTGTGTGAAGACACACATGCATTTTGGAGGTCGCAGTATTTTGTACAAATTTGCTAGAAAGGCACTCCAAGCTACTGCCAAAATGGGTATCTTGAGAGTGGGCCATCAGGCTAGAGATTGTGATCTTCAAAAAACAAAACAGGTACAGGGGAGGGGAAGGGAGGGGAGTGGGGAGAAGCTATGAACTGAAAATGGCTTGTGGTTGGAGGCGGAAAATCAGCAGGCCCATATCAGCCACTCCCGATTGTCCCCCGAGCATATGTGGAGCAGCAGATTCCAGTGGGCAAGAGCAGCAAGGAGTTCTGCTGTTTTTGCCAAGTGGCTAACAAGCTGTTTCCCACTACCTGCAATGATGTTGGTCACCTGAGTTCAAGCAACATGACAACCTATCCTGTGAAACAACCCCTGTTCATGTAACATGACAACCCACTGTGGTTTGTTGCACACAGTGGGTTGTCTGGACATACAAACTCAGTTATAACTGCTAACAAGCTCTAATATGCTCCCAGACCACCCTGTTGTCAGCCTAACATAAGTTGAACATCTATGGCAATGGAAAGCTCTGTACCCCCCACCCAAAAAAAAAAGAGGACCTCCAGAAGCATATTCCTTGTTTCTGCAGCAGAAAGGAAGCTCCACACCATTCAGTGATTGCATACAACCTCACAGGGAGCGTACAATTGCTTCCTTAATATTATAGCCAGCAATGAATGCTTCAGAGGTTTACCAAACACCACCAAGGTATCCTATTGAAATCAAAATTAATTTCACTGGCAAATATTAAATGGAATGCTGTGCGTAACCTAAGGTGAGTTGCGAGAAGGAAGTTAGTATGCTAAGAAATACGTGCTTTGGCAAAGTTTGTTTGTGTTTCTCATATTTTAGCACTTAGATTGCTGGACCAAGTTTGCAAACCTTCAGATGGTATCTTGTGCAGGCCAGGAGCCAGATTAGTTCTTGGGGAATTTGAAGCAGAAGATAAGCTCTGAGGAGCAAAAGACTGAGCTGGGTTACATGTTTTGAAATATCACATGGTCTATAAGCCTTCTAGACCACACTACTTAAGCTGGCAGCTGGATCACATCTTGTAATCCTTTCCTCCTCCAAAAGATCCACATCCTGCCTGTGGAAAATTAGTGTTATCATTCCTCTCTCTCTCTCTCTCTCTCTCTCTCTCTCTCTCTCTCTCTCTCTCTCTCTCTCTCTCTCTCTCTCTGTGTGTGTGTGTGTGTGTGTGTGTGTGTGTGGTGGAGTTGGGGGCACTTTGTGACCGCACGTAACCCTCTAGCTCCAGTCTGGTCTAGGAAGGAAAGCTGCTCAGTGTGCCAGACTCTCAGATGTTGCACTCTCCATGAATCATGGTGGCCTCATATTTGTACATACTTTCATACCTTTCTGGCTTCTTAAAAACTAATCTGTTTGGACTTCCCTCAGTAGAAGGCACTGCTAGCTACATAAAAGTTGTGGGTCCCAATCTTTCCACTGGCAGCTAAGGAAGAAATATTTTAGTTGTCATGTAGAGGGGAGAATTTGGGGGTCACAGTGTTCAGGACAAAGAGCTAACTCTTCCCCACTGTGATCTCTCAGGAAATTCAATGCCCCTAGATGATAGCTAAACTTAAAAACCTATTGGTACAAATGTGAGGTTTTTTTCTAATTTTATTTTTTTCTATTTTATTTTCTCCCCTAAGTTGAATTGGCCTGCAGAGGGAGGATTAGAGAGAATGTTGATCCTTTACTCTTGAGCTCCAACCAACCCTTGAAAGTTATCCCCTGTATGAGAGTTGAGCTGATTTTTTAAAATCCACTTTACTTTTTTATATTTCTGTACCACTCAGTCCTTGGCACCAGTGAATATGCAGGGTTCTGGGAAATAGCTAGGCCTGTCTCCACAGGGCTCTGAGCCCACTTCAGCGCTCCCAAACATGCAACCAGATCACTTATCACATATCAATTACCTTGCTTCTGTGTTGCTTATGCTGGTGAAAGCTTTTTAAAGCATATTTTTTAAGGGAGGTCGCAATTGCCATCAAAGTGATCATCGATTCGGAAAGGAAATCAAGCTAAGTGGATAATGGTTTAAGACCTGGTGAGCATCTTTTTAAAAATAACTCAAATGCAGACATAGAAATAAGCACTTATCATGAAGAAACAACAGGGTGGTAGAATCAGAATTAGAAGCAATTTTTGGATTACTAGAGTCGGAGTCTGTAAAAATGTACTGACCCCTAATAAATTTCAATAGTAATATAAATAATATGTTAAAAGTTCCTATCCCACAGATAATAATTGGAATAACCTATTTTTTCAGGTTATATTTTCAGGATATATTTCAATTTCATATCTTAGTGAAAGCAGCCCCATGAAAAGATGTGCAATGGCAAAAAATGTGTCAATGAAGTCAGCTGTTTGTGAACATGGTACAATAGCCACAAATGGGAAATCTTATGTGTGTCAATGTATTACAGAATTTGATGGTTGTGAAAAAGCATGTGCAAAAGTTAGTAGCTTTTGTGGTTCTGATAAAAATGCACCCCAAGAGCATCTAATTTAAAAAGACACTTGCAGCCTTTTCATCCTAAGGTGTTTGAAGCTTTGAATAAGAAAGACAGCAATAAAGACATTCCATATACTTCAGGGCTGAAGAATCTACTGGAGGCCAAACACAACCACGAAGATTCTTTATATCTGACAAAGCTGAGTGCTTTCAATCAATGCAGGAAACAATAATAATTAAATTATTTGTATATTCCTTTACTGATATATAGGGGTATGGTGACTCAGTAAGATGCTGAGCTTGTCAACCGGAAGGTTAGCAGTTCGAATCCCTAGTGCCGGGTAACAGAGTGAGCTCCCATTACTTGTTCCAGTTTCTGCCAATATAGTAGTTCAAAAGCATGCAAATGCAAGCAGATAAATGGGTTCCACTTCAGTGGGAAGGTAACAGCATTCCATGCGTGGAAGTGTCTAGTCATGCTGGTCCCATGACCATGGAAGCGTCTTTGGACAATGCTGACTCTGCAACTTAGAAACAGAGATGAGCACAGAGATGAGTCGGGCTTGACTAGCACACATATGCAGGGGGAACCTTTACCTTTTACCTTATACGTAAATGAAGGAGTTGGAGTTGAAGGTACCACTCATGGAGGAGCTGAAGTCTGAGGTTTTATGTTCCAACTCTACTGCTTTGGCAGACAAGCCTGTTAGTTGCTTGCTACAGCATTCCTGCTGCTTGAGAGGAGCTAAACAAACCAGGAGGACTCTATCTATGGTTTGCTCACCCTTATGTCTGAACCAAGATACCTGCTTTGTTCTTCTGGCCAGCTAAAATCATAACCCTGTATTTGTTGGTGGCTTATGATTCTGACTTGTAGGAAAGCAAGAAGCTAGAAGTCCTGGTTTTTAGCTGTTCCCACTGACAGAAGGAGCAAGTAGGAAAAATTGCTTATTTGCACATTCCAGTTATATCTAAATTGGACCAGTGGCCCCTACTTTGTTTTGCAGATATGTGTTTGTGTGTGGGGGCGGAGAGTTTCTACACAATGAAAGTCACTCAAAATAGAAATGTCCTAGCAATCAGTCTTGGTACATAGCAAAGGTTAATTCTTTTTTCTTTCAGGCTTCCAGGGTGTTAAGCTCCAAAATGCAAAATGAATTAGGCAGGAGCTGACAAATAGGGAGAAAGAGAAGTCAACTTTTAGCTATTAACACATTTTTACTACTATCTATGGAATAAGATGGACTGAGTGGAACTAAAATATGCAAGATGGGATTGTTGGAGAGGAGAGGAAGCTGAATGGATTGGCAAGCAAAATACAAAGCTATGACCTACTTTGGTACAGAAAATTAGCTTAATGACCGCATGTTGGTAATCTACGTGCTGGCAAGCTACCCTGTAAAGACATGTCAAGTGGCAGGAACTTGTCTCTTTTGCTGAGTCTGTTAGGAGGACTGGGGGATGGTCTTAAGCACTCCTGATAACAAGTTGTGTATAGCCAGGAATTCGGCAAGGTCAAGATAAGTACAACAAAGCTTATGAAAGACTGTCAAGTCGTTAAAAATAAATGTAATCTCAGCTAAATTGGATTTCTTGCATCCAGGGTTACAACAAGCTGCCAGTAGTCCCTCGGACAGGGGAATCCTCTATGCTGACGCTTACAAGAAATGTTCCTGTACTGAAAATAAAACTGGCAAGTCTACAGTATATTAAGAACTGGTTTCTGATGGAGCACCTGAAGTAATGCTTTACTATGGCTTTCTTTGATTATAGTTTTTTAAAAATCCAGAATATATTGTAAACCTCCTTGATTGGTTTTGGAAAGACGGTATAGAATCATCAGCCTCATCAAACACAGTTTGATGCATCTTGACTGAAAAATCAAACCTACTGTGTTTTAATGGGGTTTACTGCCTAGTATTTAGGATTGCATCCCAACAGCATAATTCTGTCCATGCTTACTCTGAAATTCAATTGTATTTGATGGGAACTACTCCCCAATAAGTGTGTTTTGAATGGGAACCCAAGAGTGTGATACATTACTTTCCCCTTGGGCTGCTACTTAATACCAAAAAGATCTCTTTACTGATAACTTAGCATGCACATGAAATGTGTCTAAATAAAACCCTCATAAGAAACAAGAGAGGAGACTAGGTTGGGCTTCCAGAATTCATGTTCAGCTTCCACCAATGAACATTTTTACTAATATTTTGAGCTGAGTCCAATTCTTAACAAGATGCATCCCTTGCCTTCCACCTGATTGTTAAATTACTTGAATAATTTGTGTCATTTACATAGCTCTGAATAGAACATTGCCTGTATGGAAAAAGAAAGAAAGCAACCTACCTTCCCTTGATTTGGTGATGTCTCTGGCCTATGCGTGGTCAGACTAGCAGGATGATAATTTGGGTAGTCTGCCCAGCCCAAGTGTCGTGGATCAGGAGCAGGACACATTTTCCACCTGTGTTTTAAAGAAAGTGCCAGTAGTAGACAGGTGAGGATGAGGTAGCAATTTTCATAGAATGGATTGTTTTTGATTATTTTTCTAATTCGGAAGATTCTGGTTGGGTTAAAATCTAGGCTTTATATAATATATGGAGGTATTATTTCAGGGATGCCTGCATTAGCATAGACTCCATTGCAATGCAAAGAAATGTTTGGAAGTAACTACAATGTTACCTTTTATGTAGATACTCAGAACTACATGGTCCCACAGCAGACTGAGATCACAATTATCCAAGGACAATTTCTGGAACCATTAACAATGCTATGCGGGACAAGACAGGTTTGTTTAATTCTGAAGACTTGTGTTGGCCTCTGTCTTCTGTCTAGTTTGGTTCACTAAAATCTTGAAAATGAAATTTGAAGCTTGCAAGCATGCAGAAAGCCACGCATCCATGATTGATTCAAGCTAGTACCTGGGGTAATTATTTTCCTATTAGACGTCAATATTAGCACTGCTGCCTGCTAGAAATGACGCAGGAGGATAAAATCCTTCATCTCTCCATTTGGGAACACAGGAAAACCAGCCATTTGTTCCCTTCAAACATCTCAAAAGAGCAGAAATAAGTGAGAAGGTCTCCCTGAATTATGCTAGCTGAAATGATATGTTCATTTTTTTACCATTCCTGATCCTATGCAGAAATAGTACTGTTGGAATTAATTTTAGCAATTAATAAGGAAATATTTTCCTACTGTAGTCTTCAATTGTGGGAACTGTTTCGGGCTTGGTGCATGCCCTCTGGAGACATTCTTATAACCGCATTTTAGAGAACAATAGCACTATCTCTGCCTTTTCAAAGTAAAATTGTACTAGCAATCTCTATCATACTGTCAGCTAATGAAGCAGACTAATTGCATGATGGCAGTGGAGCGAGATGTTCAGTGTCTTTCGCCACTGCTTCACCAAGTCAATTCAGTGGAAATTTTCCTCCAGGCCTGGAAAATAATGTTTGTATTGTATCTGTGTTGCAGGACTTGGTAAGTAACGGCATGACATTGGGAATGTGCAGCAATATGCTTTTTGTCCATTCAGTCTCTCAATGGAAGGCATTTAGCTCTTAAAGATCAGTTTATCTATCCTGCGGATGGCTTGCAACAATCTGAATTGCACCACAACCCAGTCCAAACCACTGATGTAGCCCGGCCCATTTTTAATCAAAGGCAGTCAAAAGTGCTTGCAACTTTGCAGTAATAAGGAAAGTAAGCAATGATCCAATGCAACTGTTAGGTTAGGGTTCAATTTCAGCTTAGAGTTAGGATTCGAAAACTATCATTTCATGTGCAGGTACAAGGGATTTACACATGCTCAGAAGAGACAGAATGGGTGAACTGCCAAGAAAAACCCTGAATTTGTGGCCTTTGGTAGAAATTTGCAGATGCATGGGGATTTGTGGAACAGTTAGGGTTAAGATTAAACTTCAGGTTATAGTTAGGGTTCTAAAAATCTGAGTTCCTTCCTCTGTCTAAGTGCCTTGAAACTGTTCAGAACAGACACAGAAAGTGAGCTGCCAAGAAAAGCACTGACTTTCTAAGATTTGGTGAAACATTGCAAGTGCATGGAAACATGTAGCACTTTTAGGGTTAGGGTTCAGGTTTGGGGTAGGCGTAGGGGTCAGAAAATATCACCCCAGGTGTAAAGGACTCCTACACGTTCAGAAGAGGCAAGTTGGCAGTAAAAACACTTCTTTTCCTCCATATTGGTGAAAGTTTGCAGATCCTTGGATATATGGCATAGTTTGAGTTAAAACAGATCTCAAGTTAAGTTAGATCTCAAGTCAGGGTTGGTGTGGAAATAAAGTTTCTCTAAGAACCTTGAATCTGCTCAGAAGACATAGAGAGTGAGCTGCCAAGATAAATAGATAAAAAGAAAAAAAAAAACCTGTTTTGTTGAAGGTACCAAGATGTATGGGAAGGTTTGGCATTGTTAGGGTTCAGGTTCAAGTTCTGATTAGGGTCAGGATTTTGTAAATATTACTCCACTCTGTGTACAAGGGACTTCAGGATGCTCAGAAGAGCGGGAAAATGGAAGCTGCCAACCCTCCCCCACCCCTTTATTTCCCTGCATTTGGTGAAGGTTCAACAATGCATGGAGGGATTTGGCACTGTTTGTGTTAGGGTTCAGCTTTGGGTTAGGGTTGGGTTTCAGAAAGTGCTATTTCAGGTACATGTGCAAGGTCCTTGAACATGCTGAGAAGAGGCAGAAATAGTGAATTGCCAACCTCCTCCTTCCAAGTTTGCTGCATTTGGTGAAGTTCCAGGAGGCAAGGGAGAAGGTGGAGGGGTTAGGGATAGGGTTCAGAAAATCTTGATCTCTCTCTCAGAGCTTTGAAACTCCTGCAAAACAAATCCCGGAGTTTGCTGTATGTGCTGAACGATTTGAAACACATGGAAGGATTTGGCCCTGTTAGTATTAGGGTCCATGTTCTGGTTAGGGTACAGGAAATATTCTATTTGGATATGTGAGGGACTCAAACATGCTAAGAAAAGCAACAAAGAGCGAGCTGGCCAAAAGTCCTGAGTTTTCTGCATTTGGTGAAATTCTGAGGTTCATGGGAGGATTTGGCTTTGTTGCAGTTAGGCTTCAGATTTGGACTAGGGTCAGCATTTGAAGATGTCATCCTAGGAGCCTGTTTAAGGGACTTAAACATGCAGAGAAGAGGTGAAAGAAGCCTCAAAGATATGGCACTGTTAAGGTTAGGGTTCAGGTTTGGGTTAGAGTTGGCATTCAGTAGATGCCATTCTGTGTGGCTATGCCAGTCCTTCCCTTACTTTACAGCAATTTAAGTAAGTATTTGTATGTAGTGCTTTTGTGTCTCCCGCCTCATCACAACAAGTTGACATATGAGGAGAGATTGAGGGAACTGGATCTTTCCAGCCTGGAGAAGAGGAGACTCCAAGGGGATCTTTTAGCAATTTAAAGGTATGTGAGGGGATGTTGTGTGGAGGAGGGCCATGACCTGTTCTTCCCTGCACTGGAGGGCAGGACGCATTTCAGTGGGGCAAAGCTCAAGGAACCAGACTTCAGGTTGGATGTCAGGAAGTACTTCTTGAAGGCTAGGACCCCTAGGATATGGAATGGGCTTCAAGGGAGTTGGTTCAGGCCCCATCAGTGGGGGTGCTTAAGGAAAGATCGGACAACCACATGTTGGGGGTTATATGAGCAGAGCCAGCTGGAGTCGGGGGTCAGACTAGATGGCCTGGGAGACCCCTTCTGACTCACTTTGTTTCTATGATTCTAAGTTTTATCTCGGGTCTTGGAATCTGCTGAACCCATCTTAGTTCAAGCTTCTCATTCCTGGCATTCCTTTGCCTTGGTCCCCTCCTTTTTTCTCAATTTTGCTTCCAAAATTATGTACCTCCATGCCCTCCTTATACCATCCACTCCCGGCACAAGCATCTTCCTTGTCCACCCCTTTTCTCATTACAACCCTGCCTACATCTATTGCTGGTCAAGCAACACACTCTCACCTGGTCTCTTCCTCCATGGAAAAACTTTTGCTCTTTCTCCATTGCTGCCCCTTGCCTGTAGAAATGCCTCCTTCCCTAAAATCTCTCCTCAAAACTCATTTTTGCCTGTGAAGTCTTTGGAAGAACCCCTGGTGCCAATATCCAGCTATGGCTATGTATAACTACCAGAAATAATTGCTTATCCTTTCCCTGCCACCAATTCTTTCATTTGTTTCCACTGGGACATGGAGCTGTTCTCTCATTCTTCCTCAAGAGCCATGTTCACAGGTGACATATAATTCACAACTTGTGCCTGGAACTTCAGTCATAAGAGCAACTCCATAGGGTATCTGAGTGCAAATTTATGGCTCCCTCTGTTTGATTTGTACCTTCCAGAAGTCATTCATTCTGTGGCATATACAGGTGGTGTATTTGTAAGATCTGCTGCCTGAAGCCCTGGATCAAGTAGGTAGCCTGATGTACTCCAGATGTTTTCTTTTATCTCATAAGCCTCAGCCAACATGGCCAATGGTTAGGGATGATTAGAGCTGTCATTCAGAACATCTGGAGGCAGATGCCTAGAGGACACCCTAGCCTCAGGCATTTAGTTATGGAGCAGGGGAAACTGGATTTATAAGCTCTGGGGGAAAGAAAAGGAGCCATACCTACAAATGCAGGTTTGCTCTTGAGTCATTGACTTTTCTTACAGCATTTGATGAGACACACTGGGGAAGCAGCCCTTATTGCAAGTACCTTTGCTCCACCTCTCTAAGACAGCCTGGCAGACAGAGCGAAAACCAAGAAGTCCTGCTGTGGATATGTGTGATTCTGGGCTGTGCAGACATCAGGCAGGTGAGACCTGGTTTGCTTTTTACCACAATGTTGAGATCTACCCCAGCAGGCAGACTCAAAATGGCAGGTGATGGTCAATATTCAGGGAACAATTCTACACTGATAGCTACTCCAATATGCAAGATAGTTACTATAGGCCAAGGATCTCCCTGGAACAAACTGGCCAGCTAAACAGAGACCTGGTCAACCAATTAGTGCTTGTTTTACAGGTGAGGAATGTTGAGAGGGAAGATAAGCTGTTAGCGTAAAGCCACGGACAGGAGGTATTTTGTTCCTTCCATTTTTTCAAAACGTCACAAACAGTGGTACATTGGAGCCAGGGCTGGCAGGCTTAAAGTCCGAAGACACTTTTATTAGCAGGCACAATGATTTCTTCTGTCATCTCTTTGAGGTTAGCTGCATTATTTACAATAGCTGGGAGAAATGTTTTTTCTCAGCTACACTATAATGCCATGAGTTATCCCCGCTTTAATGCAAAATGTTTCTGGTAATTAAGCTTTACAAAAAGACACATCATAGGCACATGCGCACTCACACAGAGAGAGAGAGAGAGAGAGAGAGAGAGAGAGAGAGAGAGAGAGAGAGAGAGAGAGAGATGCTTGTATTTTTGGTCTGTCCTTGTAGGGCTTGATTACGGGGACTGTCATGATGAATGCCTGCTCAGAATTGGCACTCTATCACACATCAGGAATACTTGGAGAAATATGGCAAATCACCAAGATTCCTCCCCTCCCCCAGCATATCCCAGTCTGCTTTTTGCCCAAGGCCCAAGTTAAGTTGTCCTTAGTTTTTAAACAGTTTGCATTCCATTCTTATGTAGTTCATTGCAACTAAACTAAGTGTGTAGCAACTTGTGAATTATATTAGAAACTAGAAAAATAAAGCTTTGAAAAGGATACCATAAATCAGTCAAACCGGGGATGAATGAACTATGAAATATTTACTTGGCTGCAATATTGGCCCAGAAGGGAATTTTTTCTTGAAGCAAATATTAGCTTCCAAGGAGGTTTTTCCTCTACAATGCAGCAGGGAGGAATAGGTTACTCCCACCCCGCAAATACTCTATACATTTTAAAAATAACAAAAAGGCTCGATATTAAAGGAGAAAGTGGGCTGGTCTTTGCTGACATTACAAAGTTCTTAGCCTTGTTCTTGCTAGGGAAAATGCAATGTAAAACATGAATGCAGGAAGAGTACAAGGCAGCTCCTTTAATTAACCATGCCTCTTGACACCAGCCATTGTTTTTCTTTACATGCAGGTAATGAATTTTCAGAGATAAGGATACAGAGGAAATGTATAGCTTCTAAAGGCTTTTTCTACATGTTAAAATATGCAATTTATAGGATACATAGTAAATACATTTCTGTCCTGCAACTAACCTACTTACCACTTCAAAGGGAGGTGGGGGAAGAATGTAGAGCACAAGATGTGATGATCAGTCTGATGCTAATACTTGAGTAATGAGATATTTAGTGGTACTTATGTGTGGGTGGGTGGGCTCCAATAATGTATGTGGATTTTCTTTCATTTGAACAGCCCGATCTTATGCTTGCTCTGGCAGATTTGCCCACAGCAGCAAAGTCTCTCTGACTCCCTCTTTTTCTGTGTGTGTGTGCGTGTATGAAAACTTCCTAAGCTGATGGATGACATTTATGCTGCCCTAGACTGGAGAGAGAGACATCTCAGTGCCACGGTGATGTCACAGGCACAGTGCTGATTGCTACTTATGGATTCCAGCTGGGCTTCAAATTACTCTGAGGTAATGCAACCCAAGCAAATCCTATTTTCCTCCACACAAGCAGCTTTCAAAAGAGAAGCTCTGTGCCAAGAACTCCTAGCTAAAACAAACAAACAAATAAACCATTTCTTGGTCAAGGGAAATTGTATTGGCAGCGTCTATTAATTTTCTTACTGATGTTTAACAACTGCTGCAATAGATGCGGATACCCAGAGTTGTGATGCTCACATATTTCTGCCTTTGCGTCTGGCACTGTAAAGGATGGCTGAGATAGATTTTTGGTACATTGCTAGATCTTGCTTCAGAGGAACTTTAATTACTGCGGATATAATCCTTACAGCATTAATAATGCTTATAAAGTCCAGGAGGCTTGTTGAAGCAGAGAGAAGTGAGAATACCTCCTTCGTGTTTGCATGACTAATGCACGCAGCATGGAGACATCCCTGCATTGTCATTGGCTCTGGTGGAACTGGGGTATCTCCATCACGCAGATGTAAAGGGAAATAAACAGTAATTATGGCGAAAACCTTGTGGACAGGCCCACATTAAGTTCCTGTCATGACATAGTCAGTGCAATTGTCTTTCCCAGGAACATTCTAGCATGCATGTTTCAATTCCCCACCTATTTGGAAACCTGAAATAAGAAAATATGTAAAGAGTATAATGGAACCAACTGTCTAGGGAGGTGGTGGGTTCTCCATCGCGAAAGGTATTCCAGCAGGGAAACTGGGCAGCCGTCTCTCAGGAATACTTTAAAATGGATTCCTGTATTGGGGGGGGGGGGTGCTTGACACAATGACCTAGTTGGCCCCTTCCAGCTGTATGATTTTAGGAGAATTCTGCCAAGAGTGAGGAAAGTAGCTGTTTTCCCCATACTAAACACAACAGCTCTTTTTAGTCTTCATTGTCAAAATGGCTGCCTTGTAATTAGTGATGATTTCTCAGAGAAAACACTTTGCCGTGATGGCAGCTTTGCTCCTCTGGGGCCATTTGGTCATATAACAGGCACTGCAGTCATCACACAGATACCACTGGAAAGTGCTTTGTCCACTTTCCATGCAAGAGGAATAAAGCTTAAGGGCCAAGTGACACTGGATATGTAGAGTTTAGGGCCATGTTATCGTTTTTAAATGCAACTGACAGCCATGAGGATAATAAGGACCACTGCAGATTCACCCCAACGGGCCCTCGAAGAGCAGCTGGAAAATCTTGAACTACAACTTTCATGTGCCAAAGTTTTGTGCATTAACTGATTTGATTTGTATCCCACATTTGTATCAAGTGTTCAAGGCAGCTAACAGCAAGAAGCAACATTTAAAATGAAAACCTATCTAAAATAATCATCTATAAACACATTTTAAAAACACAACTGTAAAAGAATAAAGCACTTAACCCAACAAACCAGCTTGCTTGCCAAAGGCAAGACCTGAATACAAACAGGACAGCTGAGAGGAAGGTAGCATAACCCCTTTGACTGCGGGTTCCATGGCCTGGGAGCAGCCACGAAGATGGCTCTGTCTCTCACTCTCATCAAATGAAACTGCATAGGCAGCTGAACCAGCAGGGGTTGCTCCCCCAGGGATCTTGAAACCAAGGCAGGCTTGTGTGAGAGAAGGCAGTCTGAACAATGGATGTACCCCAGGACTATGCCTCTCTCACGCACAGAGTATTTAATCTCTAACCTTGTCTTGTGGGATGCTTAAAGTGCTTTACGTCATCAGACTGTCCATGCAGAATTGCTGTGAGCACCATACTTCTCTAGCTTTGAGGTAAAAGCAGGATCATCTGGTGACATATTTATTGATTTAAGTGATCGTGGATCATACGTGTACCTTTCCATTTGCAGAAGGAAAACAGAATGTACTTCTTGCCTCCTTTTTAAGCTGCCCACATTATGACTTGTAGTGACACATTTGATTACAATTTCACAATACTAATTAATCTAGATGAAATGCTCACAAACTGAAGCTGGAGTAACACATCACATGACACTCTTTTTTAGCAGCATTGCTCTGCCAATTAAAAAAAAAAATCCATCTGGTTATCCCTATATGCAAAAAGCAAAACAACATTTTAAAAAATGTTTATCACTGAATTAGTCCTAGTGTGTCATAATAGGGTTTAATATCTCAAGATTTGCAGCTGTTAAAATGGCTAAAAACATTTTCTAGTATAACATATCTGTCAACTGCTACACTATTTCTAGTCAAAAATTGGCCAAATTGTACATATTGCTTTTGTCTGCCATACTGAAAAAAGATAATGAGCCGCGGGCCACTTTATATTCATTAATTAATAATGAAGGTGTAAGTTTGATCTTTAGTGTTTCCCCAGTTTAATTTAGTTTGGAGTGTCCAAGAAACATGGGATTGAGAAGGACAGTGTTGCTTTCTAAACAAAGGAAGGTTGTGAAATATTTATCCCTTGCTCAGCACATTCACTCAGTATCTTTCTCTGAAAGAGATTCTGCAGAGCAGACAGATCAGGTAAATAAGTGGACATAGATCTGAAGAGTGTCAAGAAAATGTGTGCTGTACTTTTGCAGAATCCTTCAACAGTTATACTTGTCATGTAAAATTAGCAGATAAGTACCTAAAGATGCACAAATGCACTTACAGTAGTTGCTTTTTAAACAGTTAATCTGTCCCTTGTGTGATCATGCATTTGAGGTTTAGAAAGCAAATTTGCAACCCCTGGGCAGCATCTAGGAGTCTATATGATGTTTCAGATTCCAAGATGCAAAGGCAGAGACAGAGCTACAATCTCAGAGCTGGGAATCTGTTTTCCAGTCCCCCTCCCCACCTTCACAGCCAGCCTGGAGACAGCCACCTCTGTTGCCTCTTCAAGATTGGGAACTTGACCTCAGAGAGGGGATAAAGAGGGCATTCTGAGGGCAGGAGCTTTCCAAGGCTGGATCCTGCTGCTTCTTCAGCAGCCCCAGAGCAAGCCAACTGGATGGCCAGAAATGGCCACCTAGCAGAAGTGCAGAGCCAGGGAAGTGGGAAGGTGAAAGCTGCCGAGCTGCACCTCAGACATTGCATAGGGTGTCCATGAGCCTCAGCTGTATTGAGCCCTTAATTAATGTTTGCTAAACTATATCATCTTTCAACAAGCATCTAAAAAAGAAACGGCACATATTTGCCTGCATCAGACTGCCACCCAGGACCTTGCACAAAGACCCCTTTTCTTTAGTCAAGCTCTAGCATGCAACGGTGTCTCTTTCGACTCATCAGATAAATAATCACAACATGAGGATCTCCAACAGTGTTTTTCAAGCCTGAGTATCCGCCCAACAAAGTATCAAGTGGCTTCCAGAAATGCTTTACCAAAGGACAGACCCAGAAAAGGAAATGATGGAATCCCACTGTTGCTTATGTTAACTCGGGGGGGGGGGGATGGGGGGGAGGAGGAAGGAGGGGCTTTGAGCAAGGTAACCCTAAGTGGCCCCTTCCCTGAATATGTCCACCTATTCCTCACTTCTGCCCCTTGGCTCATTCGCTTGGCCTTGGCCTCTGGACCAAAACTGTATGACTGCCTAGAGGGAGGGCGCAAGGCAAAGGAAGATCGCTGCTTGAGCGCTTGAAGATGGTTGGCTGAGCATGCCCTGACATCAAGGATGAGAAACTGCAGTCCCACGAGGCTCTGAGGTTGGCAGTAAGCCCCATATGGGAGGGAGGCCCTAGCAGGGGCCCAACAGCACCTCCCCGATCCTGCTGCTCCCAGTTAAAAGCACTCGAATGCACTGTTAATGAACTGCGCCCCCTTCTGGGCAATGCCATTTCCCTCTCACCAGGGTCCTTGCAAGGTCTCCTGCCACTGGATGTGGGACAGCACAAGTACACCTCCCTGTCTTCCACCTACCTCCGATTATCACTGCCCCTGTACAAGCTGCTGCTGTTGCTTTCTGAGGAGTTCCACTGGCTGTAAAGTGCGGCTGGGGCACCTATCCAGAGAGAAGGGCAAGCCCAAATGCCTGGCTTGTGTGCTTCTTTTCAGTGTCAGGCAACATGGGGGGTGGGGGGTAGGGGCCCTGAAGATTGCCCTTCAGAGAGGACACCCTCTGCCCACCAACACCGCTGTGAGAGGCTCCTCCGGGTGAGCCAGTGGGTGGCTGCTCCAGGGAGACCTGCTTGTTCCTTTCACCCCGTTCTCTGCAGCTCTTGTGTTAATGAGCTGAGCAACGGCTCTCCTGAGCCCCATTGGCTCTGTGCTGCAGGGGGAGGCTGGCTGGCAGGACCCTCCAGAGCACCCCACTGCTTGGCAGTACCTGCAGTGGGGTGGGGGGGCGGAGTGCATCATCCACTGCTTCTCTCACCTGAGGTGGGTTCATTTATCCCACTTCATAGGACATCCAGGCATTTCCCATCATCTGCCAGCAATGCCAGCCTCTCTCCAGAAGAGCACATAATCATAAACCCAACATCAAACATGATAACATTCAAAAGCCAGCAGGGAAGCATCTCGGCCTATTTCATTGTAGAGAAATCCACAATGGATTCATGTGTGTTCAGCTTTCTAGGAAGCCAGCCTGCAGACTCCTCAGTTGACTGACTTTTTTGCAGACTGTGTGGATGATGGGGACCTGAGTGCTGGCTTTTTACTTTGCAAGGGGATTTGTTCAACTTCATTTGCCATTCACAGCCTTCTCCTCCATGAATTTGTCTTATCCCTTTTTGATTGCATCCCTTGGTAGCCATTACCACATACTTGTCTTGTGTACTCTATGGACTGAAGCATAAAACTTCCCTAACACAGGAGTGGGGAAACTTCAGTCTGGCAGTGTATTTATTTATTTAAAACTTTTTAAGACTGTCCCCTACTGTAGTCTCATGATGGTTTAACAATAAGACAAAATAAAATAAAATACAGCATCTGATATTCTACAACCTGGTGCAAAATAAATGTACAATTCCAATGCAAGAATTCTGAGCCCAGGAATTTTTGACTACCAAAACTTGAACTGAGTTCACTGTTCTTCCACACAAAAATCTACTCTGAATAACCACAAGTTTTCTTCATTTCAATAGCATAATTTTGGGTGAAGGAAAATTAATTTTGGTGTCCCCATTGATAAATGGTTGGGAGAACTCCTAGCCAAGCTGCTGCAAATCAACCAGACACTTATCATTAGATCCAGATCTAC